CTAACGCCCAACCCCTCCCCACCTAAGGGAAAAAAATAGAGCTCCCTCGGTCTTTCTTCCTTGCTAATTTGGCTACTTTAACATGTTGAAACGTGATTCGCCACTCCCCGAAATCCTCTCGCCCTGCTTGATCAAACCGCAGCATCCTGACAGAGGACAGATTTTGCGTTTTCCTGAATTTCCTTTGTTTCGACAAGCCGGAGGAGCGTTCAAAGTAGCAGCAAAAAACTGGCCACACCACCAGACCAAAATTACGCGCGGGCGGCTCATGCTCCCCTCCCCGCGCTCTTTCCTGTCACTGCTCCACCACCTCCTCCTTCCCGATGCCGCTCCCCTCTCTCCTGCCAGGCTCTTCACCACACCTTACACACATGCATACCCACCCGTAACCTTAAACCCAGACTTACCGTGCAAATTGACGGTGCATGTGGTGTTGTTGCCGCGGTCGAGCACCACCACGCTCGTCGCTGGCGCCGCCATCTCTGCTACTGAGCTCCATCCGTCTGCTGCACCCTTTTCCCGCCTCTGCTCACGATTCACAACCACCAAAACATTATTTAATTTCCGCGCTCATTTAAACGCGGCTAAAAGGTCGATCGTTATTTCCTTTTTTCACCACGTTCAAGGTTATGTTTAATATATTTGTGCCGTGAGAAATACTGAGATACGTGAGATTGTAATATGAATCGCACTCCTGACACTTTTTTGGGGTTTTGTTTTTATAACGTTTGGGGGATCTTGATGGGGGGGTTTAGGTCCTGAGGAGAGTGGGTTTGTGTAATGTTATCAGGATCAGGTATGTTTTTAGGTTTCATAATGCACTCTTTATTGTGTTAAAATGCACTAGTGTGTGCATGCATATTAACTCTAAATTATTTACTAATTAAGAGCATGTTAATTTGTAAATTAATTTGAATGAGTACTTATAGATGTGAAAACAACAAAAATATACACGCACAAATACTCACATACGTACAACTAGGTGGGCGCGAGCGGATATAGACACAACCACTAACTTCAGAATTGCTTTTAAATACATGGATTGCGAAATACTAAAGAAATTGTTCACGAATTTTGTTAGGCCAAAGCTAGAATATGCAGCGGTTGTATGTTGCCCTTATCTTAAGAAGCATATCAACAAACTGGAAAAGGTGCAAAGACATGCCACTAAGTGGCTCCCAGACCTGAAGGGTAAGAGCTATGAGGAAAGGTTAGAGGCATTAAACATACCAAAACTAGAAGATAGAAGGAAAAAAAAGAGGCGATATGATCACTACGTAAAGATAGTAACATAATCATAAAATTGATAGGGAAGACTTCCTGGGACCTGGAACATCGAGAACAAGTCAAAGACTTAAACTAACTAAACACAGCTGCCGAAGAAATATAAGAAAATTCACTTTCGCAAACAGAGTGGTAGACGGTTGGAACAAGTGAGGTGAGAAGGTGGTAGAGGCCAAAACCATCAGTACTTTCAAAGCGTTATACAACAAAGAGTGCTAGGAAGACGGGACACCACAAGCGTAGCTCTCATCCTGTAACTACACTTAGGTAATTACATACACACACATTCATACACCCTGGAACGTCGTGAGGAATAAATGTATCAGGTATAATAGCAAATAAGGCGCAGGCTTTTAGATCACAATCTCTATTTTCGTTGACAAAAATGTAAACACAATCAAAAAAATATTTAGGAAGAGGGCAGGATGAGAAGTCTTGGCAGGAATCCAGAAGCTCTGATGAGCCAAACTGACGTAAGAAAGCACTTCTTGATTGTAAGAGCAACAAACAACTGGGGTTGGAGCTATTGCAACAAGAAACTGGTCACTGAAAGACAGGCTTCGAAAGCTTCTTGTCCTGCAGCCTCATAATGATGAGTACACACAGGTTATTACAAACACATGCGCACATTTTGTAATACAGATGTACAAGGTTCGCAGATATCAGGACCGCTTTTCAGAATCTGAACATATCATTTAGAACACTACACCAAATACGTAAGACCAGTGCTAATGACTACGGTATAGTGCACCAGCGTGGAACTCCCACCTAATCAAACACAATGAAACTTTAGAGGGCCCAGAGGCTTCTCACCAGTCTTACAACCGAGGAGCATGAACTACAAGGCAAAGCTACAGGAACTCGTGACATATAAATCACAAAACTATATGACTCGTGACATATAAATCACAAAACAAAACGAGAATCTAATTACTACTTACAAAATACTGTACAAGTGTAAACAAAAGTGGAAAGGAACATTAGTGTTTAAAATAGACTGTTCTCAGTCACCTTGTTTACACTCCACAATATTCTGTAGGTAGTGACTAGGTCCTCTGTGTCTCTGCGCCCTTCCATGGGCACTGACATGAGGTATTCATGTAAGAAGTAAGGCAAAGCCCAGCTATGCATTTCGCAGTCCGTCTTTTTAAGGTTTCCCAACGTCAAGAAAACGGTCAATTTAAAGTGTTCCCTCCTAACCTATCACAGGACCCACAACAGAAAAAAAAGAGACAGTACGTCACTTTCGCGAGCCGCTTCCAATTTCTAGTAGGGCAATTTTTGGCCTTGTGAAACGCATACGAGCGAAAAGCGACGTTCTTTGTAAGAGGACAGGTTGTATGATGAGGTCCCAGTAGTACAGTCGGGTTCGTTCTCATTCCAGGTTCGTATCCCGGGCGGGACAGAAATGACTGGGCACATTTCCTATCACTTAATGCCTTTGTTCACCTAGCAGTAAGTAGGTACTTAGAGTTAGTTAGCTTGTTGTGGTGTTGCATCCTGGGCGGGGTCAATAATTCGACCTCGATATAGCCCCTACGTGTATGAATACATTCTGGCTGGCTGTCCCCCTGGCACAATGAATTATTTTTAATTATATTCATATGCTCTATTATAATTTTTTCTATCAGTCATCGCCGTACACAGAATGCATGCTACGGAAACCAGCTTCTTATCTGATTATTTGTTGTTTAATAACACATTATATATCTTAGGTACCTCACCTATCTTAAATAACGTATTATAATTTCTGTAAGTAGCTTGCTAAGAGCGCCATTCCTATAAGTACGCTTGGGAATATCTTATCTGTTATTCACAGCACCGCTCCTGTGCCAGGCAAGTCCACTACGGGCTCACCATAGCCCGTGCTACTTGGAACTTATTCCGACTAGCCGAGTCTATAACATCTTATCTGTCTCCAATGGCCTTTGCTCTATGGCTATAATGGGTAATTACTTATAACATTTGTATTCTGCCTCATCAAGTGCTTAATCTCTTAGTAAATTAATGTGACAGTCTCAAGCACAATATAATCCAGCTATATATATCATCTTTCTCAGTCGTATATCCCCTTTCTCTGTGCCCTTCAATATTCGAGATCACAAAAGCTGAAGCAGCCCCCGCACAATACGGCCGTCTGGAAATGCAGCCTCAGCAGGGAAGAGTGATAAAACACAAGGTTATAATACAAGAAGACAAGCGGAAAGCAAGACGGACCTGGTCGAGGCGCAGCAGCAGCAGCAGGACGCCGGCCGCTGCAACCAACCATGCGAGACCCAGCAAAGTCGTGCGTGACGCCATCTTGGACACCGCGTTCGCATTCCCACAGTTTTTGTCCCCTCTTTAAACCCTTTGTTAAAACGTAACCTTATAACTACGATATTAATTGCTCGTAACGTCTGGATTTAATTGGTGTTTCTTGTCGAATATACTAGACCTTGTTATTTGCTGCAAGAGATCATATTGATGATAAAAACTATATTATTCTTGAATGCTCGGTATAGGATGCGAAGTTGATAGCTTATCTGGGAACCTAAGTGATGGGGTTATAGTTGTCTCCATTTATTATCTTATCTCTTTCTTTCGCTCTCATCAGTACCATATGTTAAAGAAAAACTTAGGCTTTTATTTAATAATTTGTAATTATATAATCCCGGGCGAGACAGAAATAGTTGGGCGCGTTTCCTGTCACCTCATGCCCCTGTCCACCTAGCAGTAAATTGGTACCCAGGATTAAGTAGCTTGTTGTGGGGTTGTATCCTGGGAAGGGTCAGTGATTTGACCCTGGGGGTGGGGGGGGGGAGGTCGATATAAGCTGTACATATACTGTATGAATAAAGTAGTATTAGTATTAAATAATTGTTTTAGTATATGAATAAAGTGGTTGCCTGTCGCGCGACATAATAAATTATAATTATTATATCTTACCTACGATCATATTCAATTTTTTTTACACCTTGAACATTTTTAATTTTTGTATATAAAGTCTTCCTTACTTTTTACAAGTTTGATTTGACTTTACTAAAAGAGGTAAAAAAAAAGTTTAATGCTGAGTTTTGTAGAAGTTATACTGTATTTGAATCCAAGAAGAGCTATCCTACACTGTACGTGTTCGTGTGTGTGTGTATTTGCTATTTATATTTACTATTTGTATCTGTAGAATCGAGCTATTAGCTCTTGGACCCCGCCTTTGTAGCCAATTTATTTTTCCTCTATTATGTGTACTACGTACATTTATCTTACACACACAGGAAGCAGCCCGTAGCAGCTATTTAACTACCAGGCACTTATTTACTGGTAGGTGAACAGGGGCACCAGGGGGTAAAAGAAACTCTGCCCATTTGTTTCTGCCATCGCCGGGGATCGATCCCCGGACAGGATTACGAATCCCGAGTGCTTTCTCGTCAGCTGTCCACTCAGCTCTGCGTGTGTGTGTGTGTGTGTGTGTGTGTGTGTGTATAATTAAGTGTCGTTACAGGATAAGAGCCACGCTCGTGGTGCCTCATTTCCCCCTATAATCTTTAACATATAACTCCTTAGAACTGCTGATGAGTATATGTTGTTTACATAATATTGCTCAAGCACGTGGTGTCCCGCTTTCTTTACCTGAATATATCGCTATTACTTTCAAAACGCTTTATCCTGCTCTGCCTTATTCTGCAGCGCCTTTCGGGGATCCCCAGTTCTAAGATGAAATATATTCCCACTTCTTCAATGCGTATTTGTTGAGGCTTTTAGTTTGTATTCTCGTGTTGCATATTTGTTGAGGCTTTTAGTTTGTACCCTCGTGTTCTACACGTAGCTAGAGTAATGAAATCCTCGTTATTCATCTTTTCCTACACCTTCCAGCACTTCAAAGTATAGTCATCATGTTTATCACTTTACTTATCTTTCAGAGTGGTAACTCAAATATGACTTAATTTGTCACAAATATGACATAACCTTCGCACCAAATATTTTATATAAATAACCTATCCGGATCCAGTACCTGACCGGAGACAGGAATCCCAGCCCCCCACGTAAAAAAAAAAATTTAGTTCCGCCTAACTTAAATTTGAATTAAATTCTCAACAACTGGTCTGCATTCCACTGTATACTTATGTGTTTCTCGTCTATACATACATGAGTGTTGTTCAATGCGTAACTTGACGAATAAAAAACTACACCATATGAACTAAAATTATTAATAAAACATATTTACGTGGCAAATGATAATAAAGATAGATTAATGATCAGAAAATTCCTTCATGACTAAACCGCCATGAAAAACACGTCACGTGACTTAACGTTCACCAAACAATGGCCTTCTGCCCACCATTTTTTTCCTCAACGTGTTCATGACATTACTCTATGCTGGGGTCAGACGGCTGAGTGGACAGCGCTCGGGATTCGTAGTCCTGAGGTTCCGGGTTCAATCCCCGGCGGAGGCGGAAACAAATGGGCAGCTTCTTCACCATGATACTCCTGTTCACCTAGCAGTAAATGCATACCTGGAAATTAGACAGCTGCTACGGGCTGCTTCCTGGGGAGTGTGTAACAAAAAGGAGGCCGGTCAAGCTAAACCCCGAAATCATCTCAAGATAACCGCAAGATGCTGAACTGAGAGCTTGTATTGAAAATGACTGTATTACTCATGAAAATTTTTGAACCGATTAATAAGTAGTATATGCAGCACAATATATCTTGGGCTATTATATATAATTAGTGAATATTTTGATAAGTGTCATGATGGTGTTTTATTAATTACGGTGAGCGAAATTATATAGTAGCTTTGATAATTATATATCTAACTTCAACACTTTGTTGGCGATACCTTGCTATACCTGCACCCCGTCCTACAAGTATATCAAACACACTCGGTCATATAAGTATTTCATACACACCCCCACCAAACACGTATATCATACACACGCAACCAAACGAGTATTTATACACACTTCACCAAACAAGTATATCATGCATACCCGGTCATACAAGTATATTATACTCACCCCGATCATTCAAGTATATCATAAACACCCGATCATTCAAGTATATCATACACACCACTCCATACAAGTATATCATGTGCACTATACCACTCCATACAAGTATATCAAGTATACCACTTGAACTTTAGGTAAGTTCACTACGGGCTCACCATAGCCCGTACTGCTTGGAACTTTTTTTTGTTCACTGGGAAGGGATCAGAATAAGGATTTGGGATGGGACGGAGGGAAAGGAATGGTGCCCAACCACTTGGACGGTCGAGGATTGAACGCCGACCTGAATGACGCGAGACCGTCGCTCTACCGTCCAGACCAAGTGGTTGGGGGAGCTGAACCTAAAAACAACAACAGATGCATCAGGTGAAAGGAAACGTGCCTAACAGTTTCTGACCAGCCCGAAGACCGAACTCAGGATCCTTGGTTGTAAGACGAGGACAAGTATGTCATCAACAACCATTAGAAGCCAAGTGAACCCGAACGTCAAAAGTTGTAAAAAATATTTCAGGTTTAATTCAAGTTCAAGAAAGTTTATAGATAATAATCACAAAAAAGTCAGCGTAGCTTAGGCTATTTGTACCTTTTCCTTCTCCTGGTTCCTTGCAGGGGGGTTCGCACATCTTTACAATACACATATTATAATTATATTATACATTACAATCACAAGCATGAGGTACAAACAGCCAAACAAGAAGTACTCTCATATATACATGTACATATACGTATATATATATGTACATGTATGTATGAGAGTGTGTACATGTATATACAACATTAATAATTTTGTAACTAGCGTCAAAAATTGTTATTTGCTTAGCTAAACGAACTAGAGGGTTCAGTTCCTGAACTGATTATGTGCCTCTGTAATCCTTTACACCACCGCCCACGGGATGGGTATGGGGTGCATAATAAATAAAGAAATTGAAAATTGAAGTATTTGAAAAATGCAAATAATCAGAGGTCACATCGGGCACGTGTTGACATTGAGGGCTCAGTTGAACGGTCAAGAAGTCGTATTGCAGCATCTTCAAAGTTTTATGAATACAGACTTTCTAGCCTAATACAGGCTTTCACTGCTAGACTAAACAACTAGCTAAATTCTATTCACACTACAATTAGATATGCCCACAACAGAAACCAAAATAATAATAATTTTTCCAGGATTCAAATCAAGGTAGTTAAAATCCCCACTTGCAAGATAGCTGTAGAAAATTAGCCTCCTAATCCCGATCATACCACATGAAAACTCTGTGGCAAGGCACCTGGACATGCCTTTCAACATTATATTATTAAATGTCCTGTCACTAGATCCTTTACACATGTCAGCTTAATATACTTAGATCTCTGCAATGAATTCATCTTTATACTCTACCCAAAGTTATACTAAAAGACTTTTTTTTATATCTAAAAGACTACATATTCATATGTATAACGAGCCATCCTACAGGGTAGTGATCTTAGTTGAACAAAATTCTAGACATAGACCTTTGTAAAGGTTTATGACCTTTTAGGGATGCTGAAAATGCAAATGTATCTAAGATTACTAATATATACAGTCCTTTACATAGTCACATCTAAGAGTGCGATAGGGTATTTAAAAAGATAACATTATCGTTGAGTAATATAGTTACACGCTTTTAAGAGTGTATAAACTTTTTGTTATTGATACATATCAATATGATGTCATAAAGTCAATATGATGTATAAATGATCTCAACATGATGAATAAAATTTTTATACATAAGATTTTTGTTATTAACAAGCTTACGTATACACAACAATGTGCTGCTACCATATTATGTACAGAGGATTACAGAGTGTACATCAAAAACTAACTATAAGTTCATCTAATATCCTCATTACTCAGTAGGATATTATGGGTAAGAAGTTCCTTATTATCAGGTAAATTATTATTATTGAGCATATGTAAATGAATATATGATCACGAAGATAACTGTAGAAGTCAAAGTCCACAAAACCTAAATCAAGTAACATTAAAAAGTTTATAAATGTCAGGTTTAACTGTACTTAAAAAAAAACACAAGACCTTAAATCTGTAGAGGAATTCACAGTATAGCAGGGCTGTAAAAACATTGTAGGTTGCAATTTAAAATAATCTTTTGCTTAAAGGTGACAAAATTCACTAATATAGCCTCCAAGACAAGGTCATGTTAGTGGTGACATTTTATAATTACCTTCAAACTTTTCACAAACAGCGCGCTTCGTTCCTTTTGACGAGTCTCAACTTGCGATCATTCACACACCAATTACAACACTTTTCGAAGATGATTATCCATATAATTCTGAAAACAGACGTATAATTATATGCAATTGTGATAACCCCTCTTAATTTTCTTATAACCTTTCACATCTTCGAGTAAATGCCATTATTTTTTGTAAACAATGTTGGGAGGGATCTGACAGCACGGTCCAGTCACACAATAACTGGAGCGTGACGATACAAAGTCGTGTTTTATAGTTATTTATGCATCACACTTTGATGTGAATTGTATTTCATGCAGTAAGGATTTAATTAATTGATAAACAGTCGCAGATTATAATAATAAGGTTCGTAATTAAGAGCCACATATCATGTCAAAATAAGAGAGAATTTATCCTGACTTTAGAGAAAACGTTCATGACGTCACTTATCTAAGGATAACTCAAATAAACAAATAATCCTTCGGATCATTCTTAGTTTTCTATTTATAAGATGTAAATGTGTAATATGAAACACTTCAGGCAGAACGATGTATGTAATTGTTTTATAAAATGCACAAATCTCTCACTAACAGCAGTGAGAGATACCAATAACAAATTAAATTAGCAAAGATGTGCAGAGCATCTCCGGACGCGCCTATAGTCACACCACTATATACCAATGCCAGAAAAGAATAAACTTGCCCAGTGTCAGAGAATGACACAAAAATTAAAAAGTAATTTGTATAAATATGCTTTGGAAAACGCACTCCATCCAAAGCTTCTTTATCGAAGGTCAACATTCTTCCCGGTGGTATAGCCGGGTTCATTCTCGACTCACAATCGAGAACTCGTATTGGGAAAGGGCGGGAAAGAAATTATTGGGAGCATTTCCTATCACTTAATGCCCCTATTCACCTAGCAGTAAATAGGTACTCAGGAGTTAGTCAGCTTGCATCCTAGGCGGGGGTCAGTAATTCAACGTTAGGGGGATCTCCACATAAGCATTACGGGGATGAATACCCTCTGGCTACCTGTCCCCCGACATAATGAATTATTATTATCATCCAAATCAAAAGGGATTGTTGGAACAAATTGAGCTTTTATTAATAATATATCAAATTAACAATCTTTACCAAGAGAGACAACATTTCCCTGCAGCATAGAACATCACTCATTTCCTAACCTATCCTTTCAACCTAAGAAGCTTAATAAAGATGAACGTATTTACGCTTCGATTTAATTGAAGCCAGATTCTCTACTGACAGTTACAACAAATAAGTTGTTGTCAAAGAATTTACTCTCAAAATATACTTTAAAAAATATGTAAATTATGAGACCAGTATAAAGCAAAATGTCAGACCCCGGTACCATTCATATTGCTTGTCACAAGCGCCAATATATTATCGAAAAACGCAAGACGATGCATGTGGGGCAATACAGTGCACATCACAACTTCAACATCACTAGCATTACCTTATAGCAGATTAATGAAGAAAATGACCTTGGAGTCAGAATTCATAAATCACTAAAAGTTTCACAACAAGTGGGAGCTGCAGTAAAAAAAAAAGCCAACCAAATCCTAGGAATTGTCAGCTATAATTTTGATTTCAGGGAAAAGAAAGTAGTCTTCAATTGTATGAATCGCTGGTGCGATTGGATTATTGTATCCAAGCATGGAGACCTTATCCTCAGAAAGATATATCTACTTTGGAGAAAGTCCAACACCGGGCGACAAAAATCCCTTCTGAACTAAGTTGACTTCCGTACCAGGAATGGTTGAGGGCCGCAGAACTAACAATGGTGCAAGGCAGATAAGACAGGGGTGATCTCATCGAATCCTCTAAAATACTGGACAAATTTACAACTTCCAAAATTTAGATATAACACAAACAAGGAGCAACGGATTCAAGCTAAACAATCCACAATGCAGGACATGAAACAGGTCGAGGTGCTTTTTCACCTATAGGGTTTTTATTTGAATTTACCTGAGGATCACTAACACTCTAGTGGCCTCAACGAGGACAGGAAGCCGGCAGCTTGTCAACGATCCCCGTATGTCCTGATTTTTTTTTTTACAAGCGTGACTTTAAAATTCAGCAGTGTTTTGACATTTACGTATTCAGCGGGTAGGTGGTTCCATGGGTTTATAATATTAACGGTGAAAAAGCATCTCAAGTATCCTGTCCTACACTGTGGCTTGTTAAGCTTGAAATCGTTGCTCCTTGTTAGTGTTACAACTCATTAGACAGTAATCCAAGTGGAGGCGCACGAAGATTTAAATCAAATGTTTCAAAATGTCAAATGTTTATTTAGGTAAGTTACATACATACAAGAGATTTTACAAAGAGTTATGGATTTATAGTTAGGGCTAGTACATACAATGCCTAAAGCCACTATTACGCAAAGCGTTTCGGGTATTTATGCAGCTGAATAACTATACCTTATTTTCCTTAAAGTCAAAGGTTTGCCTGATTATTCCCAGGGTTTGATTATGATTTTTTTACTGCAGTTCCCACTTGTTGTGCAATTTTCAGTGCATGATGGATTCTAACTCCAAGGTCATTTTCTTCATCAATCTGCTGTCAGGTAATGTTGATTATATGAACATTGTATTTTGAACAAATACATTGTACGAAATTGTATTTTTGCTGTTTTTCTGCCATGTTCCCCTTTTTATATTTTTTTATTTTCTCAACACATATTATACTTTAATCTCAGTTAGTATAAGTTTTAGTCTTTAGTGTTTTTCCTGCCCGAAACGCTTTGCGTAATAGTGGCTTAAGGCATTGTATGTACTAGCTCTATCTATAAATTCATCAATATTTGTATCACCCCTTGTATGTATGTACTTTACCTGAATAAACATTTGAATTTGAATTTGAATTTGAACATGTAGAACTTCTTACCCGCCGAAGCCGTAACTGCCAAAACACTACTAAATTTCAAACTCCAGCTCGATAAGATCATCAGACAATTGGTGGAACTTTTGGCAAGCCCCTGGCTTCCTGTCCTCGTCGAGGACACTATAGATACTGACTCAGGTAAACTCAGATCTGATTAGTGTCATTGTGAACTATAATACAATTAGCTTGAGCTACCTCATCCCTTTGTGTGTATTTTACCTCAATAAACTTATTTCAATTTCAATCACAGTGGCAAGAATGTAAGCTCTCAAGCATACCCAGTGAATAATTCTATACAAATAAACTTAATACTGTATTATAAGTAGTATTAAATGAGCTAAATAAAAACTTCTCAGGGTTCGTAGTCCTAAGGGTCCAGGTTCGAACCCCGGCGGAGGCGGAAACAAATTTGGCAGAGTTTCTTTCACCCTGAAGCGCCTGTTCCCCTAGCAGTAAATAGGTACCTGGGATAAACAGTCGCTTCCTGGGAATGTGTGTGTGTAAAAATTAGGACTTGCCCGAAACGCCATGCGTGATAGAGGCTGTATAAGAATGCAAGAACTCTTGTAAATATATACATATATATGTCGTACCTAGTAGCCAGAACGCACTTCTCAGCCTACTATGCAAGGCCCGATTTGCCTAATAAGCCAAGTTTTCATGAATTAATGTTTTTTCGACTACCTAACCTAACCTATAAAGATAGGTTAGGTTAGGTTAGGTAGGGTTGGTTAGGTTCTGTCATATATCTACGTTAATTTTAACTCCAATAAAAAAAAATGACCTCATACATAGTGAAATGGGTAGCTTTATCATTTCATAAGAAAAAAATTAGAGAAAATATATTAATTCAGGAAAACTTGGCTTATTAGGCAAATCGGCCCTTGCATAGTAGGCTGAGAAGTGCGTTCTGGCTACTAGGTACGACATATATAAATACACAAAAAAACAATTAAAAACTTATAGGGCGTACGGTGTAGTTGGCCAACCAGCCGTCACGAAGAGAGTGGCGCTGCTGCCTCCACAGGAAGTATGGTCAGTATACCTCTCTTAACTCTTCAGTTCCGTCCTAGCAGCCACCGTGTTAGGGCGCTCAGATTTTTTTTTATATATATATTTTTTTTTTGCAACAACGCTATTTTAATTATTGCTTGACCGTTTTTTTTTTTTGGTCTGAGCACAATCTGCAGAAGCCATTGATCCTGAGTACTGATTCGAGTCCATGTCGCCTGTACGATACGTTTACCTTACGGCACCGCTGCCAGACCAACAATGTTATCTAAAGATTTTTACACTATGACGTTGTTGCAGTCCAGTGCACAGAGCTCCTGTCATTGTATTTTCTTTCATTTATGTCACAAATCCGGTTTCGAAAAATAACAATGGAACACGCAAACCAGGAAAAAGCGTTCGTATATTAAACTGTTTAAGATTCAGCTACTGGGAACAAAAAGTTCCAAGTAGCACGGGCTACGGTGAGCCCGTAGTGGACTTGCCTGGCACAGGAGCGGGGCTGTAACTTGGGGTATATTAAGTTGTTGTTTCAGATTTAGCTACTCAGAATGAAGTGTCCATGTAGCACAGGCCATGGTGAGCCCGTAAGGGTATATTTTAAGCATTAAGGCTAACTATATAGGCCTACTCCCCCCCCCCCGCCTTGATGGAAGATGAATGAGGTGGACGGGTTAGAAGAGTGGTCAGCTGGTGGCCCACACATCATCACTACACCCAACACCCGTGAGTACTGACATTATCTGCCTCCTGTGTACTATTATATCCCTCCACACCTCAGCTGCACTAGTAAACAAACATCGTATGGGCTCTCTGCAGTTACCTTTATTCTTATGTTCTTATGTGCTTCGTCCCTCATTTATCCCTTATGTAACCCCCCTTATTTTTATCTTTATCACCTGACCCCGTACGGGTATAAATAAATAAATAAATAAATAAATAAATTTTTATTCAGGTAAGGTACGTACATACATACAAGGTAAGATACAAAAGTTGATGGATTTATAGATAGAGCTAGTACATACAATGCCTAAAGCCACTATTACGCAAAGCGTTTCGGGTATAAATCAACGAGTCCTATAATTTCATTTCACTTGAGAATAAACAAACATCCTGCACGTCTCATACTCGCTTTTCTCCCTTTACATTGTTTCAAAATCAAAGCCTTTACTGATAAACGATGGTGCGTTTATAACTTATCATTATTTGGCAAAATTTAATAGCCCATTATGTGCCTCTGTAACCCTTTCCACTACCGCCCACAAGATGGGTATGGGGTGCATAATAAATGAACTAAACTAAACTGCCCGAAACGCTGCGCGTACTATTGGCTTTATAAGAATTTAATTAACATGTTTTGTATCCTCACAATCTCAATGTACCTTCAACAACCAGGTACCCATTTTACTGTTGGGTAAACAGAGGCTACACAGTTAAGGATTGATGCCCAGTAAAACCTTCTCATCCAGGAAACAGGAAACTTCGGGGCGGTGGTAAGTAGACCTGTGTCGCAACCGGACAGTGCCAGGTTCGAATCCCGCAACAGGACATTGTTTCACCAACGCTTCTTTTTTGCCAGATGTCTCTCTTCACCTAACAGAATAGGCACCTACGGTGAATTGCATCCCGGTGAAAGCCTACGGGCCCCCTGGATATAAACCTTAAACCAGGCTTCCTGTCCCCTGGCATTACGAAAACCTTAAGGTGAACCCCCAGGGGCAAGACATTCAGCCACTCGTGTGTACTCACCTAATTGTGCTTGCGGGGTTGAGCTTTGGCTCTTTGGTCCCGCCTCTCAACTGTCAATCAACTGGTGTACAGATTCCTGAGCCTTCTGGGCTCTATCATATCTACATTTGAAACTGTGTATGGAGTCAGCCTCCACCACATCACTTCCTATAGTGCATTCCATTTATTAACTACTCTGACAATGAAAAAATTCTTTCTAACATCTCTGTGGCTCATTTGGGTACTAAGTTTCCACCTGTGTCCCCTTGTTCGTGTCCCACCCGTGCTGAAGAGTTTGTCTTTGTCCACCCTGTCAATTCCCTGAGAATTTTGTAGGTGGTTATCATATCTCTCCTCACTCTTCTGTTTTCCATGAATGTGAGGTTCAGCTCCTTTAGCCTTTCCTCTCAGTTCCGGGACGAGCCTGGTGGCATACCGCTGAATCTTCTCTAACTTTGTCTTGTGTTTAACTAGGTATGGACTCCAGACTGGAGCTGCATACTCCAGGATTGGTCTTACATAAGTGGTATACAGGGTCCTGAACGATTCCTTACACAAGTTTCTAAAGGCAGTTCTTATGTTGGCCAGTCTAGCATATGCCGCTGATGATAATCTTTTGATGTGGGCCTCTGGGGACAGGTTCGGTGTGATATCAATCCCCAGATATTTCTCTCTATTTGACTCTTGCAGGATTTCACCTCCCAGATGATGCTTTGTATTCAGCCTCCTGCTCCCTTCGCCTAATTTCATTACCTTACACTTTCCTGAGTTGAACTTTAGCAGCCATTTTCTAGACCATTCCTCCAGTTTGTCCAGGTCATCTTGTAGTCTCTATCTTCATCCGTCTTGATTCTTATAATTTTTGCATCATCGGCAAACATTGAGAGGAACGAGTTTATACCCTTCGGAAGATCGTTTACATATATTAGAAACAGGATGGGTCCAAGTACTGAGCCCTGTGGGATTCCGCTGGTGACATCTCGCCACTCTGATGTCTCCCCCTCACCGTTACTTGCTGTTTCCTGTTGCTTAAGTATTCCCTTATCCACTGGAGCACCTTCCCTTTTACTCCTGCCTGTTGCTCCAACTTTTTTAACAGCCTTTTATGGGGTACTGTGTCAAAGGCTTTCTGGCAGTCCAGGAAAATGCAGTCGACCCACCCTTCTCTTTCCTGCCTAATTTTTATTACCTGGTCATAGAGTATGACCAGACAACAAAAGTGTGTACTCACCTAGTTGTACTCACCTAGTTGTGCTTGCGGGGATTGAGCTCTGGCTCTTTGGTCCCGCCTCTCAACCGTCAATCAACAGGTGTACAGGTTCCTGAGCCTATTGGGCTCTATCATATCTACACTTTAAACTGTGTATGGAGTCAGCCTCCACCACATCACTTCCTAATGCATTCAATTTGTCAACCACTCTGACACTAAAAAAGTTCTTTCTAATATCTCTGTGGCTCATTTGGGGACTCAGTTTCCACCTGTGTCCCCTAGTGCGTGTGCCCCTTGTGTTAAATAACCTGTCTTTATCTACCCTGTCGATTCTCTTGAGAATCTTGAATGTGGTGGTCATGTCCCCCCTAACTCTTCTGTCTTCCAACGAAGTGAGGTTTAGTTCCCGTAGTCTCTCCTCGTAGCTCATATCTCTCAGCTCGGGTACTACTCTGGTGGCAAACCTTTGAACCTTTTCCAGTTTAGTCTTATGCTTGACTAGATATGGACTCCATGCTGGAGCCGCATACTCCAGGATTGGTCTGACATATGTGGTATATAATGTTCTGAAAGATTCCTTACACGTACGTGTACGCGTGCGTGCGTGTGTGTGTGTGTGTGTGTGTGTGTGTGTGTGTGTGTGTGTGTGTGTGTGTGTGTGTGTGTGTGTGTGTGTGTGTGTGTGTGTGTGTGTATAGGGGCGGAGAACAGCCAATTCAGCCCATTACGTTCCTCTGTTACCATTTACCACACCACAGAATGGGTACGGGGGTATATAACATGAACAAAATCAAAATCATTATAGTTGAGCGATGAGAGGGTGAACATGCAAGAGCACGCTGAACCCTATAGTAACCCAACTAGACAAGTGTAAGCAGACACAACTAGGCGAGGACACACGTGAGTATCAATACGTTAAGTAGAGTTGCCAGGCACCTACAGTAGAGTTGCCAGGCACCCTAAAAAACTACACTGTCATCACAACCGGTTCATACAAGTGTAAAAGCTATCTCAAGCACAAATGTAATAGTTTTATTTATAAATGTAAACTGTTATTATAAAACATACGAACACAATAAACACTTGAAAAGCATTACGGATTAAGATATTCAAGGTTAAAAACAATTAAAACAACCGTAAGGTCAAAAGTACTTTTGGTTCATTTATATCATATATATATATTAATGCTGGAAATTTGAAACAAAGGTGATATTTGTAAATCCACTTGCTAATACCAGCAAGTGGTTTCCTGGCACCAAAGAACGTGGCCTGCAGCTGTTCCCGTGGATTAAAGCTTATTATACGCGTGATCATGGCTTCTCCCCTGCCTCCATGGACAGTGTTCAGCTTAGCTTAGTTCATTTATTATGCACCCCATAACCATAATGCGAGTGGTAGTGGACGCCGTTCCCATCCTGAGCATTTTTCTTGTCATTTCTTTATTATGCACCCATACTTATCCCGTGGGCGGTGGTCCTGTGAGCGGGAGTGCAGTCCACACCCATCCTGTCAACAGTGGTGGATAGTTGCAAGTGCCCATAGCGGACTCAGGAACTGAAACTCAATATTCGTTTATATAGAGGCACACGACGGGCCCCAGGTACTAAAATTCGTGTTCGTTGACTATAGGCAAAAAAAAACCAATATTATATTTCTGAATGTAATTTCGTTAGCCAAGTTGGGATTCGTTATATAGTTGCATTTTAATAAGTCATTGTTCTATCATATTATATTTGAATCCAGTTTGATAAACTCTTAATGTATTTGTTAATAAACTATGCAACCACATAGATCGTCAGTGCTATAATTTACTTAGCTAAATAATATTTGGGGTTCAATTCCGGCGCAGAGTCCATTATGTTCATTAGTCCTGTTCCATACCGCTCATAAGATAGGTATGGGGTGCATAATATTTGAACTAAACCAAAAGATATTCTTCGTTTTATGTTTTCTGCGAGCACTTATAATCGAAGGAAAGTTGAAGTTTTATGATATCTTTTAGGCTATAAAGGTAAAGGCAGGTGATTAAAGACCTTTTGTACCTACCATAGAGTGCTACCGCTCGTATATTGAGTTAAGGGTGCATAAGTGCCTAGTGACCCAAGTGCCTAGCCGGTAGGTACTTGGGGCAACAAATTATCAGTCAAGACTGAAGTTCACTTTGTTTCAGCTTCGGATTCGTATCGCACAAATGAGAGACAATTCGAACAATTAAAGGGTATTCTTATAGCTTTGGGCCACCTATATTATAGTCGATGTCATCCACCTGATTTTACCCTTGCTGCTCAATTTTTTTTTTTATATAACACAATTTCAAACGATAAACGGGGTTGGGTCACCTCAATAAATAATTCTCACAGAGGTGCTGTAACTTACGTGGTGTTCGCCCGGCCGGGGTAGGATAAATGCACTTGACTCGGTGGGATAATGGGTATCAACGGTAAGTCAGCAGGTTACTCCCATGTTGAGTCTGAATCACAAACTGAATGAATGACCATAAACTGTGATAACCTCGCTCGTTGGCTATAGGAGCACCTCCATCAGCCTAAAGGGTACTACACCTATACGCGTATAGGTGGGTGACAGGTCAGACCTTGGCCACTGGTGAAAATAAACTTTAATATGGGTATCCGAAAGCGAGTTAACTCCGGACATATCAGTTATTTATTCAGATACACAGATGTTAATTGCTCTCGGTGCAATATTTACAACCGTTTCCAACCTAAAAATTGTTTTGGGTTGGGACGATTTAAATTCTATGACGCTTTGGAGGGTTACACGGAAACGTATATACAAATTTGATTTGTAAGTAAATATAAATACAATTTAAAAGTAATACGAGGCAGACAACTTCTTTGAGGTAACACGTGTCAGATAACAAGGGTCAAGTAATTTGTGGCGCAGTAGGCAGCGCAGTCGTGTTACAACCGAAAGTTCCCTGTACCCGAGGTTGGCTGAAAAATATTGCGACTGTGTGCTCTCCTTTATTCTTACCGAAACACTGTTGAGTGGGGGCAAAATTAGACACACGTACCTGGAAACCGCAGGTCCTGCCATAAATGTGGGGGCAGAATTATCCATCTATGACCACAGATTGTCAGTCCCATTTCAACTCGCAACACACTGAACAAGCTGCTGAAATTGTTAAAGACGCATCATGACAATTTAAAGATATGATAGGTAGATTTTTATTTGTACAAAAATGACTGCAGTTATGTACAGACTTTACATGTACAGTACTGTATATTACAATGATATATATTTTACCAGACGCACAAACTCACTCACACACACCATTTCGGGCAAATCTTAAAACTATTATATGGTCACTTTAAAATGTTGAACATTCTTATCATGGTATCATTAATATATATGGCATCATTAATATATTATCTGTAGGCTAAATAAAGAAGAATATAAGGAATAAGATACTGCAGTAATTACAATTAATTAGAATATTATTGATATCCTTATATATAATAAATTTTAGGTTAATTCCAAAACCAAAGCCTATATGACACAAACATTTACACCGACAGCTATAAAACTATAAACCATAGGTGCGAAACTAAAGAAAAATAAACATGGCGCCTTTCTCCTCTTGTAATCTACATAAATGTCCTCATCCCCCAGGAATATGGAGGTGGTTTAGGGCTGGTCTTCCCCTGCGGTATGTGGTGGTGGTGCTGGGGCTGCTGGGCTGCTGCATGGACTACCTGGTGCGAGGGGGGCTGAATATTGCCATAGTTGCCATGGTCAACACCACTCGCTCAACGCTCAATGATTCCCATCTTCCCAGTGGCGCCTGCCCCGCTACTCGCAATCTCTCTCACAATGGCACTGATGATGACGATTTGGTGAGTGTGAGTGAGTGAATGAATGAGTGTGAGTGTGTTTTAGTGAGTGAGTATTTTATTTGAATTATTTTTTTCTGAATTGCACTATTCATCTTCTCCATCAGCAGGGTGGTGGCGAATTTGACTGGAGCTTGGAGGAACAAGGGATCATTCTTGGCACCTTTTTCTGGGGCTACTTCTTCACCAAGACCTCAGGTGCGCTAACAAAAGAACATCAGATTAATGGACACTGCAGTATGCCTATTGTCCCATATGAGGCAGCTCTTATTTAGATTTAACTCATTCATATAATATGTCTAACCTATGCTTGGAACCATCTACCATTCCCAGGTTTATTTTGTTACCTGGTAATTAGTTCCTTAAATCAACCATCCCATTTCTAAACCAGTATTTACCCTGGTCTTTCCTAAATCTAAACTTGTCCAATTTACATTCATTGTTTCATGTTCTATTTTGTATTAATATATGTAACACCTTATTAATACTGTATCCTCTTTGTTATACATATTCATCCATTTATATACTGTACTTCAGTCATGTCACCCCTAACTCTTTTTTTTTGAGAGTGTAAATTAAGATTTTTTAATCTCTTCATATTATGAAATTTGTAATTAATGGGAATAGTTTTGTCAATCTTCTCTCTACTCTTCCAGTGAATTAATATCCACTCTACAGTATGACAACCAAAACTGAATTGCATAATCTAAATGGGGCCTAACAAAGAGCAAGATAAACCTGAAAAACATTAGTTGTCTCATTACTAATACTTCTAGAAATAAATCCCTGTGCTCAATTTGCCCTCTTCCAAACATTTATGCATTGATTTTTGCCTCTACATCGCCACTAATCATGACTTAGACCTTTTTTGCATTCAGATTTAATAATTTCAAAATTATCCAGCTCATATCTAGTAACTATCATCATTACAGCCTCAGAACCCAACATTTTTCAGCATTAAATTGCATCTGCCAATCTTTGAGGTCTATTAAATCATACTGAAGCAATTTTGATCATCTGAATTTACTTCCCTTTTTATTTTTGTAGGATTAGAAAATCTGTAGATGCTGTTCAATTCTGTATCTAAATTGTACTGTACAGTACATGGCAACTAACAGAGGTCACAGGACAATGCCTTGGGGCACTCCACTTACAACTTAGGATAGCACCCCAGTACATAAGCTTCAGCTTTTCTAATCAGTCTTTTGTTGGTACAGTATCAAAAGTCTTGCTGAAGTCATGGCATACAATATCACAATCCTTTCCACTACCAACTGTGTCTTATATGCTGGGAAAGATTGAGGGCAGATTTGTCAAAGATGAGCAATCCTCTGTAAAGCTGTTGTGATTCCTCTTTTAATCTGTTTTTCAAGATGTGGAGAGTAGTTTTCTGTGGGGAGCCCCTACGGCTCCCTGGAGCTTATCGGGCTAATGTATGTTATGTTAGACCGGGACATTAGCTAAGGAGTTCAGACCTACCAGGGACCAGCGCCAGAACCTGGCCCCTTCAGAGAGGTTTCAGGGAGCAATGGCCCTGGAAAACCCCATATGGTTGGGGGTTTTCCTTATCTGCCATCGACCGGGGTTAGGCACCCAGAAAGGTAGGCGTAACAAAACAAACCCCACATGGTAAGAAACTACAACAAAAACCGAACAGAGAGGTAGAAAACTCCCTACAATCCCAAGGAAACAAGCAAACAAGCAAACATCACACTTTACTGCCGCGCCGATCGTCCGCGCAGCCCTCCCCACCCCGGGAGGGGGAGGGGGGAGCCCCGGACCTACCGCGCCGGCTGCCAAGCTCCAGTTCGTTCGCTAATGTCAACCGGGATTGACGCTTCTCTGGCCTCAGTTTCCTAGGCGGTGTTTGCCTTGTGTGGCGTTCACTGCCGTGTGTTGTGGTGTGCGGTGGCCAGGAGTACTTCATCAGTGCCGGGGCTGCATGTGCTTAGTGGCTGACTTCCCTAAGCGCCCTGTGAGTACTGCCCTTGCGTAACAGGGTTATCTTCCCTGGGGCGTTCGGGAACCATTCCCGTAGAGGTTCTTGCTGCTCGGCATTTGCCTCGCCCTTGGGGCCAGCTGGGGCTTGGGGCCCTTGTTTGGCCCTGGGTAGGGATTGGTATTGTGCTGGTTAGGGCGTCAAGGTGTTGCGCAGCCTGCCACCTATGCGGCGGCCGGTTTCTGTTGCCTCTGGAGACGGTGTACTTTTGCGGGGTTTTTCTTTTGTTTTTCATTTTCTTGCCTGGTGGGGGTCTGCCTAAGGTGGTTATAGTTCCACTGGTAGTGTTTGGCGGCCCTCTGCTAGGCCCCCGTGCTTGTACACGTCTCAGGGGTTTTCAGTGCTATAATCTACCCTCTTGTTATGTTTGGGTTTCTTAACCGGTTAGCAACACCTTGCCCGGGCTTCCCGTAGTTGTTACCCTACGGGCCCTGGAAACCCCTGTCTGGGCTCGGGGGACCATTGAATGTGTCTTCCGGGTTCCAACCCGTCTTGAACGGGATCGTTGGTTGCTGTTCCCTTGTCTCCGGGTGACAGTCGCCATTTTTACCTCCGTCATGCTGCCTGTTGGGTCACTGACACCTTGACCCGGAGTCTTGCGAGTGATTCTCTGCTTGTTCTCCAGTACTCTCCTGATGTTATTACTGTTCAGAGTACAGGCGGCATCCATGTTGCAAGCTAGGTTAGGTTGCTGCAACATGCTAGGTTGGTTTCCCACTCGAATGCCCCGTGGCCGCCCCGTTTGGTTAGGTGCTGCTCGCCCCTTTCTCTCCATGTTCCCGGCTCCGGACCGTCTGCGGGTTTCGGGGTCGGGGCGGGGTTCAGTTGCGGCAGAGACTCGGGCGGTTTTCGGGGGATGCCCCGTTCGGGTTGGGGACGGAGGTTTGAGCCTGTGCCTCCTGCCAAGGCTTCTGGGTCTTACCAGCGGCCCTTTCTTGTTGCCTTTCCCATGGGCTCTTGCTTTTCTTTACGGGCGGAGGGCTTGGAGGACGGCTCTGCCCCGGGGCCTCTGTTGTTGGTTCCCGGGGCTGTGGGGGTTGCCTGCTAGCAGTTCTGGGGCGGTTTTGCCCCTTCAGGGGTTTTTCTGCTGTTGGGCGTCGTTTTTCGCCCTTCCAGTCTGCTAGCTTCCCACATTTGCTGGCGTGTTTTTGTGTATTAAGCGTCAGTCACAGCCCCTGCTGGCGGCCATTTTCGTCTGCCGGTTTCCCGGCGTGGCCACCAGGGCGGCGTTGCGGTTTGTTTACATGCGTCTGGGTGTGCGAGCGAGCGTCTCTGGTGAGTTTTCAAAAAATTTGCAGGGTTTTTGTTCTCCTGTTGTCGTTTCTTTGTTTTTCTGGTGTTTTCTTGCCGTTGCCTGTTCCTCTGGGAACGTTTGGGTGTTGATTTTGGGTCTGAGCCTCTGGGTTTAGGCTCAGTGCCCCTGGCTGGTATGCTTGCTCCCACACCTTGCCCCTCGGTTTTCGGTCTGTTGGGACCGTTTTCCCAGGGCGTTCTGCTGGGGTCTGTGCTTTGCCTTTTAGTGGTGTTCTCCGCCGGCAAATGTGGTGGTTTGGGCTCCCCCTGGTTCGATTCTGGGTTCCTTTGGGTTCCTTGGTTTCGTTCTGGAGGTTTCTTCCTCTTGGGCCCCCTTTTGTGGGTTCAGGGGACTTTGTTTCCTCGTGTGACCCGGTTCTGCCTTTTGGGGTTCCGGGGTCTTCCTGGCTTGCAGACTGAGCTTTTTGGGTCTTGGCACATGTTGTGGTTGTGCTGGGACTTTGTGGTTTTGCTGTCGAGGTGGGCCTTTAGATGCAGTTTTGTGCCTTCTTTGCCTGGCCGGCGTAGTGCTCTTTGCCACTAGTCGGCGGCTTGTGCTTTTACAATATATGTCCTCACCTAGTTGTGCTTGTGGGGGTTGAGCTCTGGCTCCTTGGTCCTGCCTCTCAACCGTCCGTCAACAGGTGTATCGGTTCCTGTGCCTCTTGGGCTCTGTCATGTCTACATGTGACATTGTATGGGGGTCAGCCTCGTTACTTGTGTGAGGAGTCGCCACATTACTTCTTCGTGCTTTCCCGTTCCCATTCTGACAAAAAAAAAAAAAAAAAAAAAAAAAAAAAAAACTTTAATTCTATCTGTGGCTCTTTTGGGTACTCAGTTTCCACCTGTGTCCCCTAGTGCGTGTGCCCCTTGTGTTACATAGCCTGTCCTTCTCAAACCTGTCGATTCCCTTGGGTATCTTGTATGTGGTGATCAGGTCTCCCCTCACTTCCTCTTCCAGCGAAGTGTGGTTTCATTCCCGTAGTCTCTCCTCATGACTTCGGTAGTGTACTTTTTCTTTCTGAAGGGGTTCTGTTCCCTTCTCTGTTGACTGGGCGCTGGGGGAGCAGCTTGCTCTGTTGCCTCTCGCTTGGTCCCGCTGTTGGTGGGCGCTTTGGGTTGTCTTCCGGCCTCTGCTGGCGTCGGAGGACGGCTTCTCCCCCTTGGGGGGGGTTCAGAGCTGGCGGGGTGGGCTTCTTCCCTGCGCTTCGTCTTTTCCTCTTCGTGGGTGCGTGGGGCGTGGTCGATCCGCCCCATCCTTCTGGGCTTCCCGTCTGCTCTTTGCAGTCATGGGCTTTTCCCGTCTGCTCTTTGCAGTCATGAGCTTTTCCAGTCTGCAGTTCTTCTGGACTACTTCCGTCTGCGCCCTGGATCCTCTGCCCTGCTCGGAGGACTGTTGTCTCCTGTTCGGATTCTGTTAGGGCCGGGTGCATGGATGGTGGACCTGGACCTCCAGGTCACTTCTTGGCACGTTCCTCTCCAGTTTTTCTGGGGCTAGCACGGTTGGTAATTACCTATGTGTACTTACCTAAGTGTAGTTACAGGATGAGAGCTACTCTCGTGGTGTCCTTTCTTCCCAGCACTTTGTCATATAATGCTTTGATTATAATTGTCATATTGTCATATAATGATTGTCATATGTCATAATGTCTTAATATGATTGTCATACAATGCTTTGGTGGTGGGGCTTCAGGTTTGCTGTTTTTATTGCATTCCCTATTTTGTGAAGGGCACTTTGTATACTCTTTGCATCTTTACCGGATCTTAGTGCCCTGTCTGCGTCTGAGATTCGGTGTCTGGCCTACCTCGACGACTGGCTGGAGTGGGCTCCCAGTCAGTCCGCTTGTCTGCTCGCCAGGGGTTGGTTCTTTCCAGATCGCTGGGTTTGGTTTCCTGGTGATCTGGAGGTTTTACCTTCTGTTTCCGTCCCGGGTTCGGACCTGGGCCTTGTTTCAGGCTCTTGGGCCCCTCATTGTCTTCCCTCCAGAAGTGTTACTGTGGCTGTGGTCCCGCCTTTGGCTGTTCAGGCTCACAGCCCGGTTCAGGTGTTCCTGGCTGTCTGGTTTGCGCTTCGGAGGGTTTGGGTCACTAGGTACTCTACCATTCAGCTCTGTTTGGACTGTTCTCTGGTGGTTCTTGCCGGAACCACAGGGGGTTTGGTTAACCGTGTGGTTCGTGTCCGGGGTGTGTCCTGCGTCCTGGTGGACAGCTGTCTCGGTTCATTCCTCTTCGTGGGTTGGCCAGTCGTCGCCGATTCGTTTTGTTGGCTCTGTTGGGCTTATGGACTCCTGGCCATGGACGTCTTCGGGTCGGCGTGGTCTAGGCGTCGCCCGTTTTGTGGCGCCCTTCCCACCTGCGAGGACTTCCCGGTGGAGGCTTTCGGCAGGCCTGGTCGAGGTGGGGGGTACCTGTACCTCTTCTCCCGGTCCAGCTGTTGCTTCGGGTTCTGGCTCGGTTGCAGCCCATTCCCACGAGAACAGTCCTTATGGTTCCACGGTGGCCGGCCCGGCCTTCTTTTCAGACGCTGCTTGATAGGTGTCCGTACCCGGGGCGTTTTTCCTGAGGCTTCGCCTCTTTCAGCAGGCCGAATCGGTCCTGTCCGTGACTGGTTCGGCCCTCTCTTTGGCTCTTCGCGTCTGGTATTTTGACGCAGGTATCGCCATCTCTATGGTGTTCAGGTGGCTTTGTTGACGGTGTCCCACCTGCGAGCTTCGTCTTGGAGACTGTATGACGTTTATTACGTTTTCTCGCGTTTTGTTTCCCCTCCGGCCTGCTCATGAGTCGCCTGAGCCATCCTGGTCCTTGTTCAGGGTGCCTTCTCTTCCCCTCAGTTTGTGGTAGCCCCTTCGGTTTCAGTTTCCTCCTCTTTGGTACTGGTGGTAGCTTTATTGGTGTGCAGCCTTTCTCTGTCCTGGCGACGGTCGAGACGGCTGCTTTCCGGAGGGGTTCTTGGGGTATTGGTACTTGTTTGGTTTGGCCGGGGGGTGCGTCCTGTGTTGTCCAGTTGTGCTTTTTGCTGTTGCCAGCGTACCGTGCCTGGGGATGCGCTGTGGTTGATCCGGTTCCTTCGTTCCCTGTTTTCAGGGATCGGGTCTCCCGGGTCGTCCGCAGTGTTTTCCTTCTTCCTGCGGTCTGTCTTTGCGCCCGTGCTGTTCAGACGTTTGCAGCAATTGCTGCTGTGTTGGTGACGTCTCGGGCTCATTTCGGGCGCAGGGAATTGTGGGTCGCACAGGTTTTTGGCCGCCCATCCATATGTGCGTCTGTTCTTGGGCGTTCTTGTTGCCTTGGGTCACAGGTTTGCGACCGGTTGTCTTGGCTTTGCGTTGCAGAGTTTGTGGCGGCCGCCTCCCGGGTTAGCCCTTTCTTTTCCTTCTCTTTGGGTATGAAGCTCCAGGGAGCCGTAGGGGCTCCCCACAGAAAACCAGCGTTGAATGTAATGAAACGCCATTTTCTGGGTGAGCCCCGGAGGCTCCCTGGAAACCCTCCCTCCCACCGGTCGGCGGTTTTTTCGCGTTGGTTGAAGCTTAGCTTCCGAACTGGAGCTTGGCAGCCGGCGCGGTAGGTCCGGGGCTCCCCCCTCCCCCTCCCGGGGTGGGGAGGGCTGCGCGGACGATCGGCGCGGCAGTAAAGTGTGATGTTTGCTTGTTTGCTTGTTTCCTTGGGATTGTAGGGAGTTTTCTACCTCTCTGTTCGGTTTTTGTTGTAGTTTCTTACCATGTGGGGTTTGTTTTGTTACGCCTACCTTTCTGGGTGCCTAACCCCGGTCGATGGCAGATAAGGAAAACCCCCAACCATATGGGGTTTTCCAGGGCCATTGCTCCCTGAAACCTCTCTGAAGGGGCCAGGTTCTGGCGCTGGTCCCTGGTAGGTCTGAACTCCTTAGCTAATGTCCCGGTCTAACATAACATACATTAGCCCGATAAGCTCCAGGGAGCCTCCGGGGCTCACCCAGAAAATGGCGTTTCATTACATTCAACGCTGGTTTTTTACTCTTGACTATGCCCATAATGTTACTTTGGGTACTGAATTTATATTATTAAATTTAATGTAACACTTCAACTAGCAGGCTATCATACATTTCACCATTTATCGAGCGCTACTTTTCTATTTCTCTATAGGTGGTCGCTTGAGTGAGATTCTTGGTGGACGAGAGATGATGGCAATAAGTCTTGGAGCATCAGGAATGCTATCTCTCTTGTGTCCATATGCTGCCTATCTACATCCAATGGCTCTGGCAAGTCTACGGTTTATCATGGGTCTAGTACAGGGCCCTGCCTTTCCTGCTTTATATAGTGTGCTGGCCAGCTGGTCTCCGGCAGATGAGTTGGCCACCATGGTTACTATTGCTTACTCAGGTTTGTTAATTTTCATGTTGGTGTTGTTCAGTATATAGTTCTCATATCTGTGATAAAAATGATAATACTATAATAATGACAAGCAGTCCTTGTTAGATAGCAAGGTCTTCATCGCATTGTTGAAAGCATGTGACATTTGAAGTTAGGTGCCGGAGTCTAAACCAATGGTAGTGTATTGCATGTCATTTGCCATACTGTATGATTCACAGTGTACTGCATACTCTAGAGTAGAAAAGCAGACCACTTATACTGTACAGATATATATGTAAATGTGCAAACAATCTGGCCCTTACACATTACCTCCACTTTTTGTCATCCTCTGTCTCATTCAGGAATGTCCTTGGGCAGTTTGGTGGCAATTGGCACCTCTGGGTGGGTGGTACATCAGCTAGGATGGCAGTGGGTGTTTTGGGGTGGTGGCACATTGGCACTTGTGTGGACACCTTTCTGGCTGTATTTTGTCCGCAACTCTCCCATCAATCACCCACTCATATCTGCCGAGGAAGAGGAATTATTGGGAGTCAACTACTCAATCAAGCCCAGGGTGAGCTTAGCATGCCTGTAGCAAAGAGCACTGACATCAGTATGTAATGTTAATATTTCATATTTTGCATTGTCCACAAACCTCATATCCCACCCTTCTACAGCATCCACCCCTACAAGCCACAAACACCACTCTCTCATACACACCACAAACACCACTCATACACACTATGGTGGGCCTTGCAGCTGAGTGGGCGGCACTCAGGGATTGTGGTCATAAGTGCCCCGGGTTCAATTCCCAGCCAAGGCAGAAACAAATGGGCACACAACAAAGTGTGTGGTCTGGTCAACTTCCTTTAGCCACGTTATTGTGACTCAACGCCTGCAACAAATATGAAGTTTTTCATTTAATGCCCTGTTCAACTAGCAATAAATAAGTACCTGGGAGTTAGACAGCTGTTATGGGCTGCTTCCTGGGGATGTGTGTGTGCATGTGTTGGAAAGAAATATATGTAGTAGACATAAGATGAAAAATAAATCGGTTAGAAAGGCAGGGTCCAAGAGCTAATAGCTCAATTATGCAGACACAAATAGTAAATACTAGAAACACCACCCACCCTCCACATACACTACTTACCGATACACTACCTACCCATACACCACCCACCCAGTTATTTATTTATTTATTTATTTATATCTATACAAGAAAGTACAATGAGCTTAAGAGTACAGTACAAAGCATTAATGTCTTTACATTCTTGTAAAGCCACTGACATGCATAGCATTTTGGGCAGGTCCTTAATCTAACAGATAATTTTAAGGAGGTCATTTGTACAGTAGCTAAATTGAAAAAAAGTTAACGGGTACACTAAGAAAATTTTAAAAAATTAGTAGGTACATTTTAGTTAAATTTGAGGATTATTTCTAGGTACTGTACATTGTAGCATAATTTGAGGATTATTTCTAGGTACAGTATATTGTAGTAAAATTTGATTCAACATAACAACCATGATATAAGATGATGGCAGTGATTATAATGGTGAAATTATATTGCTTAGGCACATATTTTGGGGTAGCCCACGATACATTGCGAGTGTAAAGCACTAGGTAGAAAACTATAAGGATGAAATTAGGTACTTTTGGTGTTACTTTTGAATAAGGGTTGTGGTTGGACAGCTTTTTAATTTGTTATTGGAGTGAGTTCCATAGACTAGGTCCCTTTATTTGCATAGTGTTTACACAGATTTAGTTTGACTCTGGGGATATCAGAGATATTTATTTCTGGTGTGGTGATTATGGGTTCTATTACATCTATCAAAGAAGAGTTTCAGAACAGGGTTTGCATCTAGGAACAAAGTTTTGTACATGTAAATGGCACAGGAGAATGTGTGGAGTGAGTTTATGTTAAGCATGTTGAGGGATTTAAACAAGGGTTCCTGTGTGTTGTCTGAAGGCAGAGTTTGTGATTGCTCTGATAGCAAGGTTTTGCTGGGTGATTATGGGCTTGAGGTAGTGTGCAGTGGTTGAACCCCATGCACAGATACCATATGTAAGATAGGGATAGATTAACACGTAGTATAATGAGAGTAGAGCAGAGTTTAGAACATAACATCTGATCTTAGAAAGAATACTGACCATTTTTGAGACTTTTTTTTGGTAATGTGTTGTATGTAGGTGTTTAAGTTGAGTCTTTTGTCAATGTATAGGCCAAGGAACTTACCATCCTTTTTATGGCTGATGTTAACATTGTCTATCTGAAGCTGAATTGCATTTGTTGATTTGTTTCCAAATAATATGTATTAGGTCTTTTCTATGTTTAGTGTGAGTTTGTTGGTTGCCATCCATGAGTGGACTTTTTAAAATTCGTTATTTACAACATTCATTAATGTGTGTGGGTTGGGGTCTGAGTAGATGATTTTAGTATCATCAGCAAATAGTATAGGTTTAAGAATGTTTAAAGACATTAGGCTGTATATAAGAAATGTATATAAGTAAATGTATACGTTGATAAGGAGATAAGAAATAGGAGAGGTCCTAGGATGCTGCTCTGTGGCACTCCTATGGTTAATGGTAGAGTGGGGGAGGTTATATCATTGATGGCTACATATTGGTGTCTGTCACTAAGATAAGATTGAATATAGTTCAACGCAAGGCCTAGGATTCCATAATGCTGAAATTAAAGTAAGCGGTAGTTGTGGTTAACAGTATCAAAGCCCTTTCTTAGGTCAATGAAGAGTCTAATTGGGAACTCATTTTTGTCAAGGGCTGTGTAAATGATATCAATCAGACTAATAATTGCATCATTGGTACTCTTTTTGTGAGTTGAAGCCAACCTGACAGGGACTTAGTATGTTGAATTTTATGAGGTAGGAATAGAGTTGTTTATAAATAATTTTTTCAAATATTTGTGATAATATAGGTAGATTTGAAATTGGTTTGTAATTGTTTGTCTGCTGTATTGCCTCCTTTATGAACTGGCCTTACTCTAGACCTACCTAAAAAAAGTTGTATTATTTCTTAAGTTGTTATTTCTTATATTAAGCATGCACTTTATTTATGATCTGGGTATCAAAATATGCTTGCATACTGTACAATATGTGATTAGTTGTTTGTGCAAATATAAATGCATTCCTTTCTGAGAGGGGTTCTAAGGAGGCTCCTTGAGCTAGCTACCTGGATAGCTACACCCAATTCAATCCATTCAAATCCTCATGAGTCATCTGACCAGAGGCCAAAACCAAGGCCCTCCCTCACAGATGTGCAAGAAGCTGGGAATACTAGATCACCCTAACCAAGAAAAGTCCACCAGAAAGGTGGGTGAGACAAAGCCACCAGCCACAAAGTGAGACATTTATTTATTCATCAGCAAGATGAATAAATAAATAATAAAAAGAGACAATGAATCCTCAAAATGCAGCCCTACCTCCGAATAGACAATACGTTTTAATACTAAATGTAAGTACATTCCTGACTGTCTGCACCTGATGCTCACCAGGCCTCCCAGTGTCATGGCAGTGGGTTTCCTCCTTCAGGTGCATAGCACAGTGCATTAGTTTGCAGCAGTACAGCAGGCCCTGTAGAAGGTCTGTCTTCCTCCAGGCTCTACTCTGACTGCAGCTCATTGTTTCATGAATGTTTCTGGTCCCTCCAGGCTTCTTTGGCCTTGGGGCAGTTCACTCATTGCTAATTTTACCTATTATGGGAGGTTACTTTCTGTGGCTCTCCTCTGCATCTTGGTGTGTTTCCCTTTGTTTTGTTCTCTGTAGTCTCTCCCTTCCAGAAAACCAGCATTGAATGCAATGAAATGCCTCTTCTTTGTGGGTCCTTGGAGGCTCCTTAGATCCTCCCTTCCCTGTTCAGGGGTTTTGGTTTCGTCTTCCTGGCTAAATGACTTAAGGTCAAGGGCTGAGGGATTGAGGAGGTAGATAAGCAGTCCCCTAGTTGTGCATAGGTGAACCATTGAGTGAATTGCTTCACGACTGAGTGGTTTGTTTGTTTCAGGGATTCAGTGTCTGTTTTCTATTCCTTGTTTGCCTTGCTGATTGTATGTTTTGACTTACACACCTTTCTTTTGGTCTTGCATCATTGTGATGGGGTCAAGTTTTGGCCTCTGACCCCTAATAGGCTTACAGTGATTTGCTGGGGCCTGGCATGGATTGAATTAGATAAGGGTATCCGGGAGATAGCACCAGGAGCCCTCAAGGACCCATCAGAAAAGGGCGTTTAATTAAATTCAATACTGATTTTTATTAATACAGTACAGGTATACAAATATGTAAATAAAAAGTTGAATTAGAATGGAAGTTCAGTTGTAGCAGGAAGGGTTCAATCCCACCTGATTTTGATATTTCCAGCTTCACTATATAGTACAGTATATTTTTACATCATTATTTCTATCAATAACTTAACCCTGCAGAGGAATGTTCCATGGACTCACCTTATCCGCTGCTATAGATTCTACCCATGTATTCTGGCTGAGTTTGCGACTTCTTGGGTAGGAAATCAGACCATCACTGAGGGGCCAACTTTTCTCAAGATGCAGGTAGTGTTCTTTAAATATTACAGCTCTGTCCTTCACTGGAAAAAAATTAGATGTTCAATATTGTACTGTAAATATAAGCCATAATGAAAGTAATAAATAGGTATCTCTTACCTGTATCCTATACCTTTTGTCCAGATTGGGATGAGTTTGACTGAAGTAAGTTGGGTGCTGGCTGGCGGCCAAACCTGCAGCTGGATAGGATCCTTTACCTTTGGCAGACTATCAGACTTGCTTATTCACCATAACATTTTTTCAAAAGTAAACACTAGAAGACTCATGCACTTCATTGGTAAGTATTTTTTATACATATTTCAATAGAAATCTGTTTCTTTAAATACCGTACACAAAATTTAGAAAGTAATCTTGAGCATCTTACCTTTTGCAGGAATGATGTTAGTGGTTGTGGGTCTATGTTGTATGGTGTGGGCAGGATGCCACAAGTGGGTAGTGTCTGCTCTGCTGGTGTTTGTCATGATAGGCACCTCCACCACCCTGAGCACCTTCACACTCGCACCAATGGATCTTGCGCCCAACTATGCTGGTGAGCGTTGTTTACCTGAAGTTGCTCTTAGCCACTTTGAACATATAAAATTCATGTTACATAACTATTGGGCTGGTAAAGATGGTTTAAGCATTGTACTTTAAACATGTTTAGAAACAGTGTGATTTTGGCAATAAGTAAAACTGAGTTCTGCTTAGGAATTTATTCAACCAACGAAAACAGATGTCTACAGTTATAATCTCAAAAGAACTGTTATTTGACAGGAAATACAATACAGTACAGTACAGTATAGTACTTGATTAAACTTTTTAAAATCTTCCCTACAGGGACTTTGTCAGGATTACTGGGAATAGGTAACATCAGTGGCTTTGTGGCTCCCATTGCTACAGCAGAAATAATCGCCAAGGTATTCCACATTTTTTTTTATCTCAGCTCTTCTGACCAAGTTTATCAATATTTCTGAGCATGAATGGGGAAGTGATATGTTTTGTTTTTACAAACTTTAAATGTGTGTCATTGAAATAATTTTCTAGGTGGGACCCCTCAGTAAATCCCAGTCCTGTTATGCTGGCCTAAGGTTCCAGAGACAAGCTCGGGAAGCCACTCAGAGCTCACCAGAAAATGGCATTTCGTTACCTTCCAAACTTGATTTTTCTTATTGTAATTAATAAGATTGTCCATCTGTCTGCCTTGCACTTTTTCCTGTGTCAGGTTGAAATATGATATATTGTTCATCAAATATATTATCTATTGATTGTCTTGGTTTAACCATGCTGTAGGTACCAAGGTGGACATAAATCTCTCCATTAGCTTATCTATCTGACATTCCACCCTTGCTAATTTTTTTTATTACATAAATGAACATGTTTCATTTATTTAAATACAATCCCATCTGTTATGAATATCATTATTTAATAATTTTCGAATTTTAAGCGGCAGTGATAAAATTTTCATTGAAAACTTATATTTAACAGCTTGCATAGTAGGCTATTCTAACAAAAGTACTATATATTCCACAGACTGGTGGTTGGACGGGTTCATTGCTGCTTGGAAGTGGCCTTTACTTGTTGACAGGCTTTATCTATATGGCTACTGTCACTACAGAGGTTCAAGACTGGAATTATTATGAAGATTTACATAGCCTCATTGAAGATCAACAGCCTTGACAAAAAAAATAACTAGGGGACTTTATTATGAAATTAGCATTTGTAATAGTGAGAATTTGTAAATAGTAAAATATGAGCATGTAGTTCCACTGACTGCCTTTTTATATGCATTACCAAACATTGTTGATTACTAAAGACTGTATAAAAATCATTTAGAATTATAGAATTAAAAAATAAAACAAAGCTTTAGGGGCCTATCCTTTGAGTTCTATCAACACTAAATATTTCTTATATGTAGTCTTTATATTTACCCATATTTAAATATTTTACATAATTATATATTCATAATACAGCATGGAAAGTAAATGTAATCACACTTTCCATAAAGTACAACATTAAATTAAAATATATGGAGCTTGTCATTTATTTAATGTTAACTTATAATAAGATGATACATTTCACCTATTATACAGTATTGTATGTCAGAATCTGAGCACAGTCCAAGGGAAATACAGTATTTTTTTTTATAGTGGACAAAATACTGTACAGTATACTCGGCTGTGTTCTACTTTAACCCTTTTTCCCTAGTTTGTGACCCCATCCTATTTTTCAAAATATTATAAATTTTAAGTTTTTTTATTTAAAATTATTAAAATTTCATAAGCTAATGGATTATTATGAAGCCTTTAGCAAAATAAAATAGAGAATAAGAGAATATATAATTGGCATGAAATTTAGCATTATTTAAGTCAACAAAAATAAAGATCATATTTGTCATGATTTTGATCAAACTGTCATCATGATGCTCTCACCATTTGTGAAAGCATCGGGTTTAAGCTCAACAATTCACAATGTAAGACAAAACAGGAAATGCTTTTTCACCAATAGACTTATAAACTTATGGAACTGCTGAAGACATAAATGCCAAAACACTGTTGAGTTTTAAAATTCAGATCGATAAAATCATCAGGACAAATTAGAAGCCTATGACAAGCCGCTGGCTTCCTGTCCTCGTAGAAGTCACTACAGAGAGGGGTGGCCCTCGGGAAATACTGATTATGGCAAAGATGGTGACGTCTGGAAAGAATCTGGTTCGTGATCAGCTCGTAGTGTTAATAAACAACACTACTAATTACATAATACAGTACAAAATATCACTAATAATGTTAATATTGCTGTTGGCTGCTGCATGGTGTGTATGCACCGGTTGAGGCAGATCAGAGGTGTAATTACTTCTGGCCTAGTTGTGTTGAGTCTGCCTGATGATGATTGATTGATAAAGATTAAGCCACCCAAGAGGTGGCACTGGCATGAATAACCTGTAATGCCCGATGGTGTGGTCAGACGGCCTTATATTCCTGTCCACCGGACTTTTGTTTGAAACGGTTGCTAATAAATTGGTTGATGGGAAATTTGCCTGGTATCTGTTGGATATAATTTGTATTTCCAGGAATCTCTGGGAATATGTTATAGATGCTATTAGTGGTATGTTTGGGTCGATGGGAAACTTTACTGGTATCTGACGGATGTCATTAGTACCTTGTGGAATTCCTATACTGTAATTATGGGATTCTTGGGGATAAATTAAGTATAGAGTGGTAGGCCTCGGGAGGCCTGGTCGACAACCGTGCCGCAGGGACGCTAAGCCCTGGAAGCACCTCAAGGTAAGGTAGACGGTAGTTTGCTATTAGCCATTCTGGATTAATGTTTTCTTCTGATCATTACTAAGAAGAGAACTATATTGAAGCCGTTAAGTCAATTAATGATATTATTTTACAAAAAAATTGTTAGCCGTTAAATATTACTTGGGTACCAAGCATATTTTTCCTTTTAATAACGGGTAATGGCTATGGTGACACATCTGTCACCTACAGCCATCAGCCTACACATCTGTGTAGGCTATGCTTATCTTAACATACTAAGAAGGTTAGGTAAGGTTGGTGTTTTCTATGAAGCTTTTCAAGGTAAACTAAAATATTCACACTAAATTAGTATGTCACATATGCACTTATTTAATAAGTCAATACTGACTGTACGAAAGTGCGAGAACGGGTTGCACGCATATACACTGTATATAAACTAAAGGAGCAAGACGTGATCAGGCTGAAGCAAGGATAACAACTATTATGTGACGTGTGCTAAATATATTTAATAAGTACAAGTTTATATTATTATTGTTTTTGTGTTTACATATCACACAGTTGTTGAAAGCTAGAACTGCACTATTTCTGTATATTTATCAGTAGCAGCAGCAGCAGCATGTGCCTCTGCAACCCTTTCCTCCACCGCCCACAGGATAGGTATGGGGTGCATAATAAATGAAATAAAACGCGGGCATGTTTTCAATATATTGGATAAATCATTTGATGTCATTAGCCATTCATCCCTGAGATGGTTGCATTATTGCAGTGACTATACTGTTTGGTCTCCAAAGCAAGTGCCATAATTTTGCGTTTTTTCTTTAAGAAACAAGGGTCGAAATGATCCTGTTCGTGCTAAGGGAATTACTGGTAGTCATGCAAATGTTGCTTGGTGCGTTATTCTGGAGGGATCGAGTTGTGAGAAAAGCCAAGAGGAAATATGCATTTCGTGGACTTTGTAATTTTTTTTATTAAGCTTAGTTATACACAGCAATGTGCTGCTACCCCATTCTATATGAAAGATTACAGTGTAGATCAAACACTAGCTATAAGTTCATAAAATATCCCCATCTCACTGAATGGATAGTCATACATGGAATCAGGAGAGAACGTGGAATGTGATGCTGGGCCTGACAGCTGAGTGGACAGCGCTCGGGATTCGTTTTTTTATTTTGATTGTTGCCGCCGGAGGCGACTAGTTTATTGTGCACCCCATACTCATCCTGTGAGCGGTGGCGCAAAAAGCATTACAGAGGGCACAAAAGGTCTTCATCAGACCTCATCTTAGATTATTACAATTTCATCAATCCTTCACACCTTATAGTTACATGTCAGCTAGTTACAGAGAAAGTTCTATTTCAAGAACTATATATTTACAGTAAGTCATTATACATTAATGGTATGTCTTATCGCTAATGCATAATAGTTTGACCAATGGAGATATTAGAGAGTCATAGGGGGAGCTTCTGTTTATTATTAGTCTTCACAATACACTACTTGTTTCTTAATCTCATATGTCGTTTATATATTGGAAACGAAATATGGATACGTAGTCCTGAAGTTCCGGGTTCGATTCCCGGTGGAGGCGGAAACAAATGGGCAGTTTCTTTTACCCTGATGCACCTGTTCCCCCTGGCAGTAAATAGGTACCTGGGAGTTAAACAGATGCTACGGGTTGCTTCCTGGGTGTGTATAAAAAAAGCAGGCCTGGTCGAGGACCGGGCCGCGGGGACGCTAAGCCCCGAAATCATCTCAAGATAATCTCAAGATAGATCTACTAGCTTCCATTAGCAAACATAAACCAGTCTGGATGTACGTCACTGAACGGAGTGGATTAGGTTGGCATCTCACTAGATATTTAATCATGTCCTGAGCTTTGTCTAATATGCGAGCTGTTCATAGCAGATAACGTAACCTTCCCACAGGCAAATCTAACGAAATTGTCTGCATCTTAACATACCTAGTAAAGGACAGATTCATATTAATCTACGCGTTAATGTATTATTCGCATACAAGGGCGCATTTATACAAACATGGAAAACCCATAATTGTTATCAAAGCGTACATCCGTCGTGAGGGAATTACGTTGTCAGTATACCTCGCCGGACCAGTAGCAGGACGTCACGCTTATGGGGAACTCCACTACTAAGTACACCTTCAATGGGGATGTGGACCCCAATAATGGGAGGAAGAACCGCAATAATGAGAAAATGGACATCTCCAAACCTCCCCCTCCATCCTTCAATAGAATGCCGCCAAAGTCTAAGGGGTGCATGGACGACGTGGTAAAGTTCCTGTGGAACCCCAACACGAAGGAATTCCTTGGACGCAATGCCGTGTCTTGGGGTAAGTTTTGTGTATAATTGTTCCTACCGGGTCGAGCTTCAGCTCTAATACCTCGCCTTTCCACTCGTCGGTTGTCTATAGCAATGATTCCCGACCAACTTTTCTCCCTATCAACTATTTTTTTTTAAACTGTGAATGAAGTTACCTTATAATACCTTTTTTCTAAGTTCATTTTATTTTCCCTACTACTCTCATGCTAAATTAGCTCATCAGTGTCTAGTTTCTATGCATACCATCTCGTTCTATTATTATTCATTACAAACATTTCCGTTTTTTCCACGCAACCAATTCATTGAAATATTTTATAGCTATCATGTCTACTCTTTCTAATGTTTTCATTAGCTCCTTCAACATTCCGTCCTACCCAACACCACATACTTAATCTGAGACGAGCCTCACTGCAAAAGTCTGTACATTTTCAACAATTTTCTAATGGTGCACAATGTTTAGAATAACCCTTCATTTTGATGTTCTCTACTTTCTTATGTATCGCTAACGTTATCCTATTTATTCACCTTGGGTGGGAGTTGTCCCGGTTCAGTTGTAATACTCTGTGGAAGCTGGCATTTAGTCTGTCAATGATCTTGTCACTTTTATCAGTCTCCTTTCCTCTTGTCGATCTGTCACTTGGTCATTCACTCTATAACGTGGCTTCAGCCACGTTATTGTGACTCATTGTCTTCTATAACTGTTCGCAAACGCGAACTCGTGCGTTTATCTCGGCACCTTTGTTTCCTTAGCGTGAACCCATGAGAAAAGAAGTTGCAGGTTTCAAAAATTCCTCCTTGTTTACTTTATCGCCTCCTGAAACAATTTTGTATATAGTGATTGTATCCACAATTTTCCTCCGTTGATATACCTTACTCCTCGTGATGTGTGCGCGTGTGCGTGTAATTACCTAAGTGTAGTTACAGGATATGAGAGCTACACTCGTGGTGTCCGGTCTTTCCAGTACTCTTTGTCGTATAACGCTTTGAAACTACTGACGATTTTAGCCTTCACCACCTTTTAGCTTAACTTGTTTCAACCGTCTACCACTCTGTTTGCTAAAGAAAACTTTTAAATATTTTTTTCGGCACCTTTGTTTCCTTAGTTTGAATCTGTGACCTATTGTTTTGAAGTTACTGGTTTCGGGAATTCCTCCTTGTCAATTTGGTCAATTCTTTTTTTTATTTTGTAAGTGGTGAGCATATCACCTCTTTTTCTTCTATCTTTTAGCTTTGTCATATTAATACCTCTAGCCTCTCCTCGTAACTCTTGTTTTTACAGTTCCAGAAGCCATTTTGTAGCATGCATTTGCACATTTTCCTTCTTCACCTATTTAATACCTCTAGCCTCTCCACGTAACTCTTGTTTTTTCAGTTCCGGAAGCCATTTTGTAGCATGCATTTGCACCTTTTCCAGTTTACTGATGTGCTTCTTGAGATTTGGGCACCATACAACTGCTGCATATTCTAGTTTTGGTCTCACAAAAGTCATAAATAGTTTCTTTAGTATTTCACAATCCATGTAATTAAAAGTAAGTCTGAAGTTAGAAAGAGACGCATACGCTCCTCTCACAATGTTCATAATGTGTTCCTCTGGTGACAGTCTACTATCCAAAACCACCCCTAGATCTCGATCTTTATTAGAGTTCATTAATTCCTTTCCACATAATTTGTAAGTTGTGTGTGGTCTATTTTCTCCGATTTCACATTCCATAACATGGCATTTATTTACATTAAATTCCATTTGCCACATGTCGCTATAGGCACTTTATTTTATATAGATCAGTTTGAAGGGCATGGCAATAGTGTATGTTTCCTATCTTGCACAGTATCTTAGCCTCATCCGCAAACATGTTCATCAAATTTTCTGTTCCTTCTGGTAGATCGTTTATGTAGACGATGAACATTACTGGTGCAAGAACTGAACCCTGTGGTACTCTACTTCATTCACTTTCAGACTGTAGTGTAAACACTCCGTAAATCAATGTAACCAAAACACCTTACCTAACCTTGCATAGATCTAACCATGCTTATACCAATATATAATATTAATTTATAATTGAGAAAAAGCCGATTATTATTATTATACCATGGAAAAGATTCATCCTGTCATCTGCTGCATATGTCAGACACCGACTTATTAACATATAAGTGTCGGTATTTTAAAAACAGCTTGGGTTGGAAAATCGGCGCCGACAGACACACAAACAATACAAGACATCTACGCAGGTGACCATAAAACCAAAATTAATTATAATTGAGTGAATCTCTTACCGTTGTATCTTGCAGCCAAGATCTTACTGTTCTACCTGGTCTTCTACTCATTCCTGGCCGGCTTCTTCGCCGTGATGATGGCCGTCTTCTACCAGACTCTTGACACCCGCCACCAGCCCAAGTACACGGGCCACCAGTCCCTCCTCAATACTCCCGGTACGTATCATGCTGACGGTCTCCTGTCACACCGATTGATTGATTGATTGATGAAGATTAAGCCACCCAAGAGGTGGCACGGGCATGAGTAGCCCGTAATCTGTCAGACCTCTTGACTCTAGCCCAAATACACTGACCGCTACTTCCGGTACGTACCTGTCGTGTTAAAAAGAGAAGAAATTCCGCATCAATAATAACAATAATAGATGTTAGAACATCTATAACGGTTACAAGTGCAAATACCGCTATTAATTAGGGAATATATTGTACTTGTAAGTTATATAATATATACTATACTTGTAAGTTCCAGTAAATCGTCATTTTAACTTGAGTCGTTTGCATTATTATTATAAGAAAACGATTACGAGTCAAGAGCACAGGGTAAACTAAGCTAGCACAAGGGATATGTCCACCAAGATGTGTACTATGCCTTTCGGTGTGTATACACTGCGCTTACTTTAGTCCTGGACTATATTCAGAACTATAGTATACTTGCCGGTTAGTTAATAAACTATTGTTGTTGCATTAATAACCCTCCCGCGGTTGATAAACCGCGGGAGGTTGACAGACGAAGCTAGCAAGTTAAACTTTCCGTAATGAACCGATCAGTAAAAGAAAACGAGAATAAGTGAGCATAAATACTAGGGAAGAGCTATCTGGCGTGTCACATGCAGCACTTCGTGTTTGGCTGTTGTTGTTGTTATAGATTCAGCTACTGGGAACAAAAAGTTCCAAGTAGCACGGGCTATGGTGAGCCCGTAGTCAACTTACCAGGCACAGGAGCGGGGCGGTAATTGCGTTGTATTGGGCGTTATTCTTGCAACCCGTTCTCGCAAATTTAATAAAGTCAATATTGACTTTACGAATTTGCGAGAACGGATTCTTGAGAATGCGTTGTGTGGATGTTGTAAAACACGTACCTACCAGCCGTAATTTTTGTGTGTTATAAAGTTCGAATACAAGGTATTAGCTCGCATTATATTAACTTTATTTCTCGCTAGAGTTGTATCCCAGACTTGTATTTTGTTTGCGTTAGTCAAAAGTCTAACAACTTTAGACACGTTCGTGAGCAATAATTCCAAATTAGTGATGTGCGATCATCCGCAGACATGCAGATATCCTTATGCATTTACAGCAACACGGGGTTTGGCGGTGGGATTAACAAGCATTTGGTTTTTGATGATGAGGGACGGCTGCATGGTAATACCGTTGGATTGATTGATTGATGAAGATTAAGCCTCTCAAGAGGTGGCACGAGCATGAATAGCCCATAAGTGGTAGATTTTTTTTGGAGTGAATGGGATCTTTGGTCGTGAAAAATGCCGCTGGGTAGTAGATTTGTTCTCGATTCACAACTGGGTATCCCGGGCGGGACAGAATTGGTTGAGCACGTTGCTTTTACCCTATGCCTCTGTACCTGCTAGCAGCAAGTAGGTAGCCGGGAGCTAGTCAACTGTTGGGGGGTTTGCATCCCGGGTAAGGTTAGTAGTTTTACCTTGGAGGGACCTCGATATAAGCCTATCGAATATATACAGAGGCAGCCTGTCCCCGACAAAACTACTATTCTAATTATAATTCAAATTTTATCTTGGACAACAATGAAAGCCAACGTCATCCACAAGATATAATGGATTTGCGAGTGTTATTAATGTAATATATTTGGACTCTCACGTATGTGAAGCGTATAAAAACGTTCTTTTGAAACTATTTTCAAGATGTCGACATAACATTCCACAGAAGTAGTCCGATTACACTACCGTGATATTATCATCAGTTATCCTTATAAGTAATATTATAAATTGTCATTATTGTTAATGTTAGAATATCTATAACTGTTACAAGTGATATTATCTTCATTATCTTTATTCATCTTCAGGTTTAGGAGTGGTGCCAGGACTTCACGGGGATGTCATCACATACCAGTCCTCCCAGGACACATCATCCAGAGAATACGTTCGCATCATCAACCAACTCATTGAATGTAAAGTCCATGAAGTTTTCCGTCAGTTATGTTAGGCTGTTGTCCCTCCATCTTCATCATACATGGCTTTAACGCTTACTAGAGTACAAACATTTTTTCTTTAATACCAAGTTCATTTAATTTTGGTGGTGAGCTTATTTTTCGACGTTTTTCTAAACAGGAGGATGGGTTGCATTTTAACGTGTAAATCCCCTAAGGTCAAAAACCGATGTACTAAAAAGTATGTACCCCTTGTCGTCATCGATACTCTTTTTTTAAACACGCCTAATTAAATTTAACCCAACCTACACGAACATAACGAAACTAAGAGATAAAATAATGTATTTTATTTGTGGTGTGCATGAGATGTGACGTCACTGAGTTTTTTCTTTGCAAATACAGGTTTTAGACCTTATTAGTGTATTTCTTTTTGTTCCTGAATACTTTTCTAGTAACATAATTTTGTGTGTTTATACACCTAGATAATGCTCTAGAATATTTGTTTGCGTTTTCAAAACAGTCAACTACAGCCGTAATTCAACATAACCAGCTGATGTTATTTTACACTTAAGATTTTCCCATCAACAGCGTACGACATCGTCAATAGGGCCCAAGTCGACTACAAGAACTGCACCTCAGATGACACACCGACCAAGAGAGAAGTGTGCATTTTCGACTTGAACTTGTTGGGAAGCAGCTGTAGTAAGGAGGATAACTGGGGATATACGACCAGTTCTCCTTGCATCTTCCTCAAGCTTAACAAGGTAAGAACCATTATGGGTATTCTTGTCTTTCTACATATTAAGTACCCTGTACTTAATGACGATGAAACACCCATTTATTCGTCATTATCAATTACTAACCTTATCTCATTTGTCAATGGCTTGGCAAAGCTGGATAAACCCTTTAGGATTAGTCTCCCGTGATATTCACACGTCACAATTTCTTTCTGACATTTGTGTTTGATACAATGGTCGTGTAGTGAAGAGAAGGGGAAAGGGTGAGGAGCAAGTAGAATGTTGAGCAAAATTACAAGTTTGATATCTCTGTATTTAAAGATGTGCCCAGATTGATGAATCTATGGAAGGAAATTAAATGCGAAACCAGAATGCAATTTTGTAAATATTCCCTTTATATTGCAGATGATCAACTGGAAACCTGAGGCTCCCCGGAGCCTGCAGGACCTGCCGCTGGGTCTCCAGGAGTACATCAACGCCACCCAAGATCCTCTCCAAACTCTCTCAGAAGTGAGGCTCGGTACTCACCTAGTTGTGCTTGCGGGGGGTTGATCTTTGACGCTTTGGTCCCGCCTCTCAACTGTCAATCAATTGGTGTACACATTCCTGAGTCTATTGGGCTCTATCCTATCTACATTTGAAACTGTGTATGGAGTCTGCCTCCACCACTTCACTGCTTAATGCATTCCATCTGTTAACTACTCTGACAATGAAAAAGTTCTTTTTAACGTCCCTGTGGCTCATTTGGGTACAAAGTTTCCACCTGTTCCCCCTTGTTCGTGTACCACCCGTGCTGAACAGTTTATCTTTATCTACCCTGTCAATTCCTCTGATAATTTTATGGGTAGTGATCATGTCTCCCCTAACTTTTCTGTCTTCCAGTGTCGTGAGGTTTCGTTCCAGCAATCTTTCCTCGTAGATCATACCCCTCAGCTCGGGGACTAGCAAGATGGCATACCACTGAACCTTTTCTAACTTCGTTTTGTTTTTGACTAGATATGGACTTCACGCTGGAGCTACACATTCCAGTATTGGTCTGACATATGAGGTATACAAGGTTCTGAATTATTCCCTACACAAGTTTCTGAAGATAGTTCTTATGTTCGCCAGCCTTGCATACGCCGCTGATGTTATGCTTTTGATGTGGGATTCAGGGGGACAGGTCTGGTGTGATATGAACCCCCACATTTCTCTCTCTTCCTGACTCCTGAAGGATTTATTCTCCCAGCTGGTACCTTGTGTTTGGCCTCCTACTCCCTACACCTATCTTCATTACTTTGCACTTGCAAAGTATCAGTATTCAAGTATATTTTAACTCAACATACTTTTCTTCTTCATCTTATTCTTTGCTGTTATTTGTATTATAAATAATTCTAAATATGATGGGAAACACTTGCAGCACGTGTGGGTATGGTGCGAGTCAGAGGACAGCCAGCTGGAGCAGCCAGCACCGGGCATACCATTATACTACTTCCCTTACACCAACCAGGAGGGCTACCACCGTCCCCTAGTACCTGTCCGCATCAACGCCACTCAAGGTGAGAGAGTTTGTGTACACATATCACCTAGTGTGTGTGTGTGTGTGTGTGTGTGTGTGTGTGTGTGTGTGTGTGTGTGTGTGTGTGTGTGTGTGTGTGTGTGTGTGTGTGTGTGTGTGTGTGTGTGTGTGTGTGTGTGTGTGTGTGTGTGTGTGTGTGTGTGTGTGTGTGTGTGTGTGTGTGTGTGTGTGTGTGTGTGTGTGTGTGTGTGTGTGTGGTAAACCTTGTGGTATTTTCCCACATACATATTCTCCTTTCTTTTTCGCCTCTCTTTTTCTTTCTTTATATATATATATATATATATATATATATATATATATATATATATATATATATATATATATATATATATATATATATATATATATATATATATATATATATATATATATATGACGCTTTGTCACGTTTTAAGCAGTGTACCTAAATGTCATCATTGAACGTTATATTATTCACTGCTACTATCAGTATTAGTGCTGCGACTCAAATGTTTCTGCCACTGCTTGTAATGTAATTAGTTCAAATGATATCGTTATTTATTTCAGACTTCTAATTTTTTTGCTCCTATTCTTACAAAACTCAGACGGCGTGGTGGTAAACTGCCGAGCCTATGGTCACAACATCCAGCACAAGGTCAATAAGCGCTTGGCAGGTGAGGTCAACCTCTACGTTAAAATTGAGGCATAGAACTGGACTCTTGAACTGTGTTTTCCTGCTACTCAGATGAACAAAATATCATACCACTCACGATCCTACTCTTGTGCTTAGTTTGAAACTGTCTGAAATCCTATATATATTTAAAATAACTGCTATGTTAATTTTAAAACTTTTGACACATCAGCCATTACATGCTCTAATAATTTAAATAAAATATTGATAATTATTCTAATGTACAACAAATAAAATAAATTTATTTAAAATTTACCTGTTCATTGTGATTAGTGTAAATAAAAATTTTTTGTGAGGAGTGAAAATGTTGAGACTATAACTGTAACATGTTAATTCCTTGTGGTGACAATCTGTTCCATGAGACTGTTAAGCAAGTCCCAGCTGTGTCCGGGTACAAGTGACAGGATGAACAACCTAGTGGAGTGTCCTTCCTATTGGGTGTTGTTGTTTGTACATATTTCTATGGCGGTGTGTTCACTCACTGGATGAGTAACGCTGCTAAATATACTCACCCTCCGGGGATTTTGTGTTTTAAATGACTGCAATATACTCCCACGCTTATCACATAAACTTTCAGCTCATAATTTGTGTAAACTTAAAATTACTTTCCATGAATACCCAATAATAAACATATATAAATATGAATGATTTAATGAATTCAATATCCAGCACTGATTATTACTAACACAATTTACAGGTGAATACTCTCTGGCAACCAGCCTCCCTTTAAATACAAACTCCCTGAACTATTTCACTAAACTACTTACAAGCCAGGATTAATAACTTCTCTTATCATGACCTGTTCACTATAAACAGGCGTCACTGCCTGGCATATTAAACACTGCCTAACAAGCAAAATCGACAACTTCACTAAAAAATATCAGGCCAGAGCCGGCTAGATCAATATCCCCCCAAACTGTCTGATGGCCTGACAGATTGACTTATAAAACCTTTTCTCCTATCACTTATACATTTAAAATGTATATCACAAAGAAGTGAATAATACACAAGTATTATTCTGACTTGATTAAATTCATATCCACTTCTATACGCACTTTGGTACCTGAAATACTAATACAGACTGCCTGAACTACACACATTAATCTGGGAGGTTTATTAAACGTGACAGAGCTGCGTCAGCTGACTGCCGACTGGCTGAAACAATACCCATTATTTACCCTTTAAGAGTCTGAGCTACAGCAAATATTTATTATTCTAAATATATTAAATGGGTCTGTTGGTTGCGCAAGAGTCAATAATAATTAATATGCAAAATACACGGAATGCCATTACCAAAATATGCAAATCAAAATATTCATTACTTGAAGAACATAATACTTGACTACTACAAAAGTAACATCCAAATTATGCAGCAATTCAACTGTGACTCGTTATGCTTGCAGATCATTGTATTTCTATGCTCCAATACAAATTCCCATAACTAGCCTATGTACACTAACTGAAACATGCCTAAAGAAACATCAAATAAATTAATATACTGCACAAATGAAAGTAAGGCAGACCCTTGTATGTAATTTGACATTGAAAATAGGCCTGGGCTTGTAACTGAAAATATATTTAGAATATAATTATGACAAGGCTACATCCTCGGACATAACACCAAGTTAGAGGCTGACTCACATAAGCCAAATTAGAGGCTAATTCACACAGGTCAAGTTAGAGGCTTATTTACATGGGCCAAGTTAGCAACTAATTCACATGAGCGAAGTTAGACGCTTACTCACCTGGGCCAAGTTAAAGGTTAAGTCACATGGGGCCAAGTTTGAGGCTACCTCAACTGGGCCAAGTTAGAGGCTAACTCACTTGGGCCAAGTTAAAAGCTAATTCACCTGGGCCAATAGAGAGATTAATTTACATGGGCCAATAGAAAGGTTAATTCACATGGACCAAGTTAGTGGCAAACTCACTTGGGCCAAATTAAAGGCTAACTCACATGGGCCAAGCTAAGACCAAACACATGGGTCAAGTTAAATGCTAACTCAGATGGACCAAGTTAGACGCTAACATACCTGGATCAAACTAGAGTAGGAAGCAGAGACTAACTCACTAGGACTAAGTCAGAGGAGATAGTAGAGGCTAACTCACCAGAACCAAGTTAGACGAGGCAGTAAAAGCTAACTTACCAGCATCAACTTAGAGGAAGTCGTAGAGGCTAACTCACCAGGACCAAGTTAGAAGAGGCTAACATACCTCAAACTTAAATAAAATAATTATAAAACACAAGGAAGCTGGAAATCAATAACTATAATAATAATAATAACAACAGGCAAAATGCCCAGAGAGACTGTTTGTGTAATACAAAATAAATATTAATATTATTGATTTAATTTCCAAGAATAATATGTGACAATAAATGGTGTTGTGTGATCTTTAGGAAGACATGATGTCATATCCGGGTCATATCTAGAGCAACAAGCCTCAATGGGAAAAAACAAAGTCTCCAAGGAATATTACAAGAGATAATCACACCCACACGTCTCGTGTTATCATAACATTCTTCCTCTATTATCATTCATCAAGATGGAAAATTATTTCATTGTTTTAACATTCATTTGTGACATATTGAGAAGAATAGATGATATGTTTAGTGGTGGAGATCGTGACACTGTGCCTAAAGGTAAGTTTATTGTACCTAAAGATAGGCTTTCTGTAACTAAATACGGGATAAGTATTTAAAGCTAAGCTTATCATATCTAAAGATATGCATATCGTGTCTAAAAATAAGCTTAGTGTCTAAAAATAAGCTTACCGTGTCTAAAGATAAGTATACTGTTTAAATAAAAGCTTAGCATCTCAAGGTAGGCCTACTCTGTTTAAATGTATGATTATTGTACCTATATCTATGTATACTTTCCTTAAATATCCGCTTACTGTACCCAAAGATATGTCTACCATGCTTACAGATATATATCTACTGTGCCAGGGAAAACGTCCACTTCCACTGTTTGTGGCCAGTTGTGAGTGTGAAAGAAGTCCCTTGACCTCCCGTGAATAACACGACACTGACCTCTCGAGTGAAAATTTCTGCTATAAAATCGCCAGTTCATCATCTGCTGCAGAGACACGACACAGTCACCAGGATACAACCTTCGTTGGCATCATTCTGCGCTCAAGATAATCTGGAAGAGAAGGGAATGCCTCGCCAGTGGTAGTTAATCTTAATGCCAACTGGCGAGGCTATCGCAAGCCTCTCCTTGCCTTCACAACACACTGATTCAAAAGAGAAACGTGAATTTGTTTTTCATATGAACTGAATGAACAACTGTGTTTATATTTAGAGTGAAATTCGGGGTATACACATTTATTAATTTAACGAAACGGTTACCCCGATCTTAAATTTGTCTTTTATTTAATATAATTTATTTTGTTTATCTTTTTTTGTCAAAATATTTTTTTCTCTACTTATACGCCAATTAATTTTAACAGTTGAGAACGAGATGAAGGTCGCAGTCGCAATTTTTCAGATCTAAATTCAATGACGGTGAAATCTGTGACTTCTGTAGCAACAGGGGCACCACGTGAAGGTAGTCACAGTAAGGCCCCCACAGTAGTGATACAGCAAAGTATTAACACACAAATGGTACATTTAATAGATACTGGAGCAAAGGATGGTGCAGGATCCGTAAATAAACTAAGCAAGTCAGCTTTATTACGAATGATATCCTGTTTTGGATTCGTTTGAGCTGGTCTATCATTCAATGGCTTTTCAATCTTGCTAAAATCAAATAAATTTAGCTTGCTCGGAGGTGATATTACGATGAGCTTTCCACCTGGCAGTACAGTGATAGCTTGTGGGTTGTCAGTAATTAGAATAGTTCTTTCCAGCGTCAACTCTCCCTGAGCCTCAACTTCTATTTTTTCTTGATCGTGGATGGCAATATTGCTACCAGAGAGGGTGACGGAGGCCTCGGCCCCGACCACCACACTCTTCATCGACGCTATTTCAGAGTCGACGATTGTGATATATGCGTCACCGACGAACTCCATGGCAGCCACGTCAATTTTGGTGTTGGTTATGAAAGCGTAATTTAGATCACGGAGAGCGTCCAATTGTTGTAACTTAGAATGGAAAATGCTAAGTTCCAAGATTCTCCCAGGAATCCTATTGACGTCAGAGTATTGAAGCAGGACGTTCCTGGGAGGGCAGTCGTTCTGGTGATTAATGAAGTTGACGGTGCTATTGTAGAGCCGGAGATTCTTGCAGGCGGCTCCCTTCAGCGTGAGTTGCTGTGCGTTATGGAAGAACACAGTCTCAACTCCACTTCCCCAGTCATCCAGGTTCACCTCCTTCTCCTACAATAAAAGAAGTGAAATCTACATTTATTACCAAATTACAATCCACACGGTAAAATAATTTAAATAATTAGATATATCTATATTTCAGCCTCAGTACCGAAATTTTGTCTGTAGATAATACAAAAAAATGAATGTATTCGTTGGTTTATAAGAAACCTGTTGTCATCGGACCTGGTGAGGGTGAGGTAAACCTGGACAATGTACATGTGGACGCCCATAACAGTCACTGCAGCTGTCCAGAGCTGCGATGCTGAAGATGGTGATGAGCTGGTAGAGTGACCTTACAACAAGTGATTGGTTGTCAACTGGATGTAGAGGATGACCTCTACTGTGTTTATATTTAGAGTGAAGTGGGCAGTGATGTCTGTGCAGAGGTCAACGCCACCCTCTGCTGTAAGGTCTGGTAGAAGGGTAATGGTCGCGTGAAAGATGGTTGTGTAACCTGTTATGTGAAGACACGTGAGAAAAAATTAACTCTGAGTATTGATTTGAAACGTTTAAGGACTGTGCCGCTAAATTAAAAGTCTGTGAACAAAATTGAGCAGGTAAGTGCCGTTGAAGTTCACCATGGATTTCTAGTTAATGATCTCCTTCACTCTAGTAAATTCCTCATCAAACTGTTTCCAACCTGAGCTGCGTGAAGTGTATGGTTGAAATAGGCACCAACAACATGTACAGGATCCGATGTACAGGTCAGGGCCCTCACGACTACCACTAGACACATTCCTATGTTAGTTTCCTTAATATGGACTGAAGTGTAAAGGTCGCCATTCCTTTCCGAGACTGTTACACCTAAGAAAGGTAGCTTGTCTTTAATCTCAACTCCATAATAAACCTAAGAGTTTCGTTTGAAAGTTTCCTTAATTAAGCAGGAGCAAATATTCCATGCCAGACACCTGCGAGAAGATCTCATCAACCTACCAGCGGTAGTCATCAAGTTAAAGACCTTTACCAACATATTGTACCTGAATTATGTACCAAATTACAACAAGAACACGTAGATGTTTGGGTTAGGTGTGAGTGTAGGGTTTTGAAGGGGGCATATCTTATTATTATATTGCTCATCAGTGAGTATACTTTAGTCCAGAAGATACTCCAGGACTTAAGTTAGCTTTCGGTGCATATATCGTATCAAAACTTTGTTCATAAATGGTTGTACATTATAATCGAGTTAGTTTACACAAAATTTCAGAACATTATTTACACAAGAAAGTCATAATGAGAACATAACACGTAATCATCATAATTATATGCTGTATAATATAGACTTAGATTTAGATGTATTGTTTGTAAGTGATTTATACAAATCATTTCAGATATGGCTGGAGTAAACAGATGTACATCCAGAGGTAAAACTTAAGCTTACAATGAGAGCGGTGAGACGTTGGCAAAAGATATAGCATAAAATTAGCACGGTGAAAAGATATTTTGAAAGATAATATAAACTAATTATAGCATACCAAGAAGTTATAGATATCAGCACAGACTCAGTATTTTATATCAACAGATTTAGGGGAAAACATAGATCTATAACATTGAACACACAGCTCATGTAACAAAGATCTGGGGCCGGATTCAGGAAGGTACTTACGAAGGTTTTTCCTCTTAGCTAAGAACGAATTCCTTCTTAGCGCCTTCGTGGCGGCTACGTCCGTATTCAAAGAGCTACCCTAAGTGGAAAAATCTTCGTAAGTTCATTCCGGGATTTAAGTGTGGTTTCGACCACTCGTAGCTTTACGTAAACTGGATATAAGTCATTTTTTCTCTACTACATAACACTGGGATCGATTTATGATATTGGAACATGACCAAAACATTATAGCTGGTGAATCTAGTGGAGAGGAGTCCTTCGTGTTAGTTATATATGCATTCTCTGCTTGAAACTTGAAGTAAATATGTGTTTGATGATAGTAGAATTAGTTTTATAATAGCAAGATATTATACCAGTAGTTATTATAGTCTGTTATTATTAACAGTCTCCGTGGTGTAGTGGTAAGGCACTCGCCTGGCGTTCCGCGAGCGCTATGTCATGGGTTCGTATCCTGGCCGGGGAGGATTTACTGGGCGCAATTCCTTAACTGTAGCCTCTGTTTAACGCAACAGTAAAATGTGTACTTGGATGAAAAAACGATTCTTCGCGGCAGGGGATCGTATTCCAGGGACGTGCCCGAAACGCTACGCGTACTAGTGGCTGTACATGAATGTAACAACTCTTGTATATATTAAGTAAATAAACACTGGTGAACATGAAATATGAGAGAAGGTGATGAGCCCTGCCTGATGGGATCATTTACTATCATCAAATGCCCCTGTTCACCTAGTAGTAAGGGTGTACCTTAGCTATACATACCCATTTCTAATTTATTTAGTTTGGTTTTATTTTTAAATTAAATCTGGGTGAGACATAAAATAAAAATATGCTGCACAAATGATGTTAGGTAAGGAAAAGGGTAAAAATGTCAAAAACTTTATTCATTGAATACTTAAAGCTATAATTATGACTATATAGATTATTAAAAAAGAGAGAGGGAAGTAGGGGTCCAAGACCTCTTCCTGTTATACAATTTGGGTGTGGAACAAGTAATTATCAAAAGAAGGCACCTTGCCGGGAAGGCTATGTAGCAGTGAGGCAGCTACTTATTTGAGAAATGCTTATTTTATTTACCTTATAAGCTGAGGCAACTTATTTTATTTGAGGAATACTCAGCTGATACTTCTACATTTAGCATGGTGTAATGATCTGGGGCTCAGATCATTGGTTCTCCCTTCTCCCCTCTTTTCCCTCTCCTTCTCCCCTCCTTTCCTTCTCCCTGTCCCCTCCTTCCTTCTCCCCTCCCCTTGGCCGTCATTCGTCTCCTCTCCTCTTCCCCCCCCCCCCTGTCGCCCATTTGTCAGGGTCAAGAGGTTGACCTGAGGGTAGGGTGGTCGTGGATACCTTGGCTTCTCCCACTCAACTTCCCCACTCAGATATTTCCCTCTCCACCCCCTCTCATCCCTCTCTGTCCCTCTCAGCAGCGGCCTTCCCCATACCAGGCAGAGTCAAATGTCCCTACTCCTATCTTAGAGGAGACGGGCTTGAACATAAATTATCAGTTTTGTAAACATTGCTCGCAGGTGTCTGGGCTCCATAGACGCGCCTTGTCCCCCTTCTCTAGCTGGGGAGAGCTGACTCAATCTTCAGAAATTCATGTAGCTTTCCACGACAGATCAGTGAAGGTGATTGGCCTGAGATAAGGGCCAAGTCCTTATTGGCCCTAGAGAGCCAGACCTCAGGCCTACGTGTTAAATGGTTGGCCAGGGCCAAAATAATGGGTGGAGCCCTGGGGCTGTATTAGATGGTGGGAGGAGTAATCCTTCCCAGCAATAAGTTGGAAAAACTAAATTTCATCAGTGTGTCTTGGGAGTGTATTAGGAACAGGGCCGCAAGCCCGTATCCTCGGGGCTGAGGGCAGCCATCAACATCGTGGCCGTAGTGCGGGTATTTAAGGTATAGTGCACTTGAGTTTTTGTGTCCTCGGTAAATATCCATTGTGCCTCTAGGGAAATAGAATAGGTTATGTGTTCAAATTGTCTTAATTTACATGTTTCATAAAATAAATTGTATAGCTTGTCCAGTGGTATTCACTTAACTCCCCTTTGATATATTTTGCTACTTTGTCATTTTTAGGTGTTGTATTGGAAGCCCCCATGTTCTCCTACTATTAATAGATACTAAAGTTGCCCTTGGATTCAAATAAGTAACGTAAATTACACAAACTAATTTTCCAAAATTTATTTCTGAAATTCATATTACCCGGAGTCCCATGGTTACTGATTCCTTGCCTTCCTGGGGGATCGGTGATCGACACATTCAGGTATGGTTGGTCGGGAAGGTGGTGGCAGTGCTTTAATGGTTTTTATTTTATAATTAGTAATAAGCGAATAACCCTTGTCCTTGGTGTATCTTCCTCATTTAATATTCCTCTTATATACGTGGCAGTCCAGTGAGGGGTCATGCTGGACTGTAACAGCGTTAAGCTGGGGTATTGAGTGAAGAGAGACGGAGAATTACAACAGAGAGCGTATATTACGATTATGAGAGATCACAAGATAACAGGATTAATACTGGGGAACATTGGGTTATTACAATAGAGGCCGCGGTTATTACCACAGGGTAAGCGGTCGTTACAATGGTAGCAGCGGTGTTTCAATAATTTCTTGACGATTATTGAAGCCTCACGCGTCTGTCCGTTCGGTTATGTTATGTGGTGAGGGTGCAGCCGGGGCCCATGAGATAGAGTCGACGGTAATCCTATGTGGTGCGATTCGCATAGAGTAGGCGATTCTAGGGTCGTGCGGGCTGGGAAGTTCAAGTATATACAGTAAGCGTATGCGCTAAGCAGGCAGTTTAGCGTGGAGGCCGCCTTGGGTAGTTGGACAGGGTATTATTTTTCTCGACCCTCTGCAACTACAGACAAGGGTGCTGCGTGGTGGTTTTCGCAGCAACAATTCTAGGTGTCGAATTGTCGGGGCGGGGAAGTATTAGGACGCTAATTATTATCCCCGAGGGCGTGGTAGGCGACCCAATCGCTAGATTTTTACGGTACAGCCATGAAGGTACCAAGAGTTCACTGAGGGATGGCGTAGTAGATTCTCTAGCAACGGAATAACGGTGGTGTCGGACAGTTAGATCCGTCGGTTGTTCCGCTATCTAGTCTAACCGTTGACCGCGAAGGACAGGATTATTGGGTACTGTCGGGATCTAGGTGGATGTGGTTACCTAGGCTTGGAGGAGCGACAGGGCGGGCCGGGACGGGACGGTTATAGGTTAAATCGAGATTTCCTTAAGTACTAAATTAAGTTCCCTGTATATTAAGTTCCTTTTCAGGTTAAGTATCCCTTCGTTAGTTAAGTGTTTCCCCTTGTTTACGTAATTCTCGAATATAAGTGTTATTATTTTTCTAAGAATTTGTTTTACATGTTTAAGTCTGGAATTTTTGTTTTCGTATTGTGCAGTA